GGACATTCTGATATTGTAATTGATTGATTGACTGTCTGAATTGTACCATAATCTTGGCATTTATGTTTTTTAATCATGATCTCTCTTGTAGGCCTATATTCAATGGTTTTGCATACTTGATCAAGTGTGCAGGGGCAAGTGGCCAAGCTTATTTCCCCTTGACTTGAGGGATAAACTTTTATTGTATATATTTCAGATCCATATAAGAAACTACTCAATATAAAAATAGGCAGACTAAATCATGATTTTATGTGGTTGGCCTATTATGAGAAATACAGTGCATTCAGAAAGTATTCAGACCCGTTGACTTTTTCCACATTTTGTTATGTTACAGCCTTATTCTAAAATTGATTAAATAAAAAATTGTCCTCATCAATCTACACGCAGTACCCCATAATGACAAAGCAAAAATAGGTTTTTAGAAATGTTTGCAAATGTATTAAAAATAGAAAACAGAAATACCTTATTTACATAAGTATTCCGACCCTTTGCTATGAGACTCAAAATAAATTGAGCTCAGGTGCATCCTGTTTCTATTGATCATCCTTGAGATGTTTCTACAACTTGATTGGAGTCCACCTGTGGTAAATTCAATTGATTGGACATGATTTGGAAAGGCACACACCTGTCTATATAAGGTCCCACAGTTGACAGTGCATGTTAGAGCAAAAACCAAGCCATGAAGTCTAAGGAATTGTCCGTAGAGCGCCGAGACTGGATTGTGTTGAGGCACAGATCTGGGGAAGAACACCAAAAAATGGCTGCAGCATTGAAGGTCCCCAAGAACACATGACAGCCCCCTTGGAAGTTTGCCAAAAGACACCTAAAGACTCTCAGACCATGTGAAACAAGATTCTCTGGTCTAATGAAACCAAGATTGAACTCTTTGGCCTGAATGCCAAATGTCACTTCTGGAGGAAACCTGGCACCATCCCTACGGTGGAGCATGGTGGTGGCAGCATCATGCTGTGGGGATGTTTTTCAGCGGCAGGGACTGGGAGACTTGATGAAAACCTGCTCCAGAGCGCTCAGGACCTCAGACTGGGTTGAAGGTTCACCTTCCAACAGGACGACGACCCTAAGCACACAGCCAAGACAACACAGGAGTGGCATTGGGACAAGTCTCTGTATGTCCTTGAGTGGCCCAGCCAATTTAATCAGTTTAAGAATAAGGCTGTAACATAACAAAATGTGTAAAAAGTCAAGGGGTCGGAATACTTCCAGAGTGCACTGTATGTTCCTGAGAAAAAAAATACCTACTTGGAATTTGAGCTAGTTTCGTTTCCGGCTGTTTCCTATGTGGCGCTGCACTATCTACTTTCGCTTTCTCGGAAACCACATGGTTTCTACACAGCCGTTCCATCATTTTTGGCCACTCCCGCCGACAGAACCTGCAGAGCGCTTGCTAAGATAAATGAAGGTACGACCGTTTTACTTTGCCAAGCATTTGTAATAAATACACTATAGTCAGCAAGACAGCTTTTTGAGTTATGTATATTGCTTTTAAAATGTTGAACATTCCATTGCAGTACAGGATGAACTACCCAAAATAGCTGTGACATTACTTTCAAAGCTTTTGTTCAATAATATGTTAAGTTTCTATTTACGGTCTGAATAAGTTGCGTTTCTGATTTCAGGCTGAGGGAGGTTGCTCGAAAAGAACAGCGGTAAAACGCGCATTGGACTTTCATTGGTTCTCTACTGACCCGTATGGGTTGTGCCAATAAACAGCTGTTCATGTGAAAGTTGATCTTTACAGAATTATTTTATTGGCAATAGCCTGCCTACCTAAATGTTCACATGTTTTCTGAAGCACAAGGCTGGGGAAGTTATTGGAGGAACCTTTTCCCATCTATCTTGACTTCACCTTTTTAGTACCGTTTTCAACATTAATCAAGGTAGGTACAGCTTACTGTAACTGGTAGTTACTGCAATCAATAAATATCGGGTAAAACACATCCAAAAACGCAATTGTGCATGCAGGGAATTTTGTGTCATAGATAGCGTCAAATCAAGGGATGTGTTGAAATAAGTATACAAAACGTGTTTGTTTTACTTGGTAATAATAACCATTTAATTTTCTTATATTATTGAAACCGTCAAATATAGTGTCAATATTTTCTTTCCAAATTATTGTCACAAAATAGATTGTCTATTCATAGAATTTGGTTTTGTAAGAACATGTAATTTCTGCCATTTTCTTCTAATGCTTTTTTTGAATAATTTATTTGAAAATGGTATTAGGTTTCACTGGCAGCTACTGGCACATATATTTTTGCATAATGTCACTTGTGCAGATTAATTTGGCAAAAGTGATTAGGCCACCTAATAATTAATTGCATACTGAGTAAATGCATGTGTAATAACTAAAAGTGTGGTACAGTAATTGAACATACTTCTATCATGTTTTTGTTTTTTTGTCTTGCAATGCTGTTTTCAGAATGTATTTGCTTGAACCATATTCATAATCGTACAAAAACACTTCAGCTGGTCAAAGTTGATCTTGCAATACTTCAAAGATGCAGGTTTAGAAAAAGCCACCACAACCGCAATCATAGCTGTTGATTGAATATAGTTTGCTTCAATCAATCAGCATGTGATAATGGTTGTACATTCTTCATTTGGAACAGGAAACTCTAATTAGAAATATATCTTGATAAGAGACACCGGACACTCAATGGTTCACTCTAACAATTACATAATTTGCAAACGAAGCATTTGTGTTTAGTGAGTCCACCAGATCAGAGGGAGTAGGGATGACCAGGTATGTTCTCTTGATAAGTGCGTGAATTTGACAATTTTCTTAAGTAGTACTTTAAAGTATTTTTACTAAAGTACTTTACACAATGGCTTAAATTGTGACATTGCAGGAAAGTGACATGCACTTCAATTGAATTCCAATCTAGCTACTAAAGCTTGTTTAAACTTTACCCCTTCACTGAAATATACACAGAATGCAGTTAAGAAGTTCAATGAAAAACAGTTCAGCCATTATCCCATTAGGCAACATTGGTGTTACCCAGCAGTACTATAGAGCTGCTGACTCTCTTCCTCAACCTTTCAAAGACTAAAGAAGCTTATAGCTGACTGTATGTCAGAGTTTTCAAATCAGGAAGTGAATTAAAATGCAATTAATTAATTTAAATTATACATTGTTTTCTGTGAGGATTTTTCAATTAACTTCCTGAATTTTCAGAAGTGAAAACTGAACTGAGACCAACTCTGATGTACAGTGCCTTGCAAAAGTATTCATCCCGCTTGGCGTTTTTCCTATTTTGTTGCATTACAACCTGTAATTTAAATTGGATTTTTATTTGGATTTCTTGTAATGGACATACACAAAATAGTCCAAATTGGTGAAGTGAAATGAAAAAGAAAACTTGTTTAAAAAGAAATTCTAAAAAATAAATAATGGAAAACTGGTGCGTGCATATGTATTCCCCCCCTTTGCGATGAAGCCCCTAAATAAGATCTGGTGCAGCCAATTACCTTCAGAAGTCACATAATTAGTTAAATAAAGTCCACCTGTGTGCAATCTAAGTGTCACATGATCTGTCACATGATCTCAGTATGTATACACCTGTTCTGAAAGGCCCCAGAGTCTGCAACACCACTAAGCAAGGGGCAACATGAAGACCAAGGAGCTCTCCAAACAGGTCAGGGACAAGGTTGTGGAGAAGTACAGATCAGGGTTGGGTTATAAATAAATATCAGAAACTTTGAACATCCCATGGAGCACCATTAAATCCATTATTAAAAAATGGAAAGAATATGGCACCACAACAAACCTGCCAAGAGAGGGCCGCCCACCAAAACACGTTCGGTGTTTGCCAAAAGGCATGTGGGAGACTCCTCAAACATATGGAAGAAGGTACTCTGGTCAAATGAGACTAAAATTGAGCTTTTTGGCCATCAAGGAAAACGCTATGTCTGGCGCAAACCCAACACCTCTCATCACCCTGAGAACACCATCCCCACAGTGAAGCATGGTGGTGGCAGCATCATGCTGTGGGGAGGTTTTTCATCGGCAGGGACTGGGAAACTGGTCAGAATTGAAGGAATGATGGATGGCGCTAAATACAGGGTAATTCTTGAGGGAAACCTGTTTCAATCTTCCAGAGATTTGAGACTGGGACGGAGGTTCACCTTCCAGCAGGACAATGACCCTAAGCATACTGCTAAAGCAACACTCAAGTGGTTTAAGGGGAAACATTTAAATGTATTGGAATGGCCTACTCTAAGCCCAGACCTCAATCCAATTGAGAATCTGTGGTATGACTTAAAGATTGCTGTACACCAGCGGAACCCATCCAACTTGAAGGAGCTGGAGCAGTTTTTCCTTGAAGAATGGGCAAAAATCCCAGTGGCTAGATGTGCCAAGCTTATAGAGACATACCCCAAGAGACTTGCAGCTGTAATTGCTGCAAAAGGTGGCTACACGAAGTATTGACTTTGGGGGGGGGGGGGGGTGAATAGTTATGCACGCTCAAGTTTTCCTTTTTTAAAATCTTATTTCTTGTTTGTTTCACAAGAACAAATATTTTTCATCTTCAAAGTGGTAGGCATGTTGTGTAAATCAAATGATACAAACCCCCCCCAAAATCCATTTTAATTCCAGGTTGTAAGGCAACAAAATAGGAAAAATGGCAAGGGGGGTGAATACTTTCGCAAGCCACTGTACATGGATATAATGTAGACGCAGGGAGTCAGGAAGCAAGTGCAGTTGGTGAGTTTAATATTAGACCGGTGACGTCGAGAGCCGGTGCGGGATTAGGCTTGACAATGGCTGTGTGTCATCTGTGGAAGTGGTATAAATTTGATCACAGCGTCTGAAACTAAGCACCTCAGAATTACAAAGCAGCCTCTATGTGCAGTTGTCGATAAATATGACACGCAGTAGGCTATGTACTGTAACTGGTTATCCTCTGACCACCATATGTTGAGGTGCCTATGGAATGGTACAGGGGGAAACAATGATTTTCTCTGTCCCTGGTTCCTAGATGGCACAGTGGTTACAGCTGCAGAAATTAGACTCCAAGTACCTGGAGCAGGTGGACCAGCTGTATGATGATACTTTCCCTATGGCGATCCGCCAGTACCTCAGTGCCTGGATCGAGAGCCATGACTGGTGAGTGAGTAGCAGTGGCTGACTGACTAAGTCTGTAATTTACACAGTCAGTACGTGTAGGTGTGTTTGAAGCCTGTGTACTGTTCTCATGATTGAATATGCTACTGTTTGTTATTCTAGGTAAGGGATAGGCAACTGGCGGGCCGCAGATCAATTCTCCCCCCCCCCCCCAATAAAATGTCAACTTACTGTTGAGAGTTAGAATAGTATAAAATGCACAAAGTGCAATTTTGAAATTAGTTTGTGAATCAGCTGACAGTCACTCAATTAGCCATGTGAGATTAATCTTTTTTTTAGAATGGTAAATTAGTCTAGCAGCCAGCTATCTAAACTTGTAGTCACTCTCACTCAATCATTTCTCTCCAGCCTATGGCAAAATGTGTAGAATTGCAGGAAATTAGCGTTGCCTGATCTAGATGCATGGGTAGATGATTGCTGTGAAAGCCTGCGCCAACTACTGTAATAAGAAAACTGAAAGGAAGATTAAGAGATGTATCAAGGTTGCGATGTGGTTGACACTTTCGTTGTTGATGTACAGGTTGTCAAACTCTTCACCTAACACCTTCTAAGAGACAGTGGGGGAAAAAAGTATTTAGTCAGCCACCAATTGTGAAAGTTCTCCCACTTAAAAAGATGAGAGAGGCCTGTAATTTTCATCATAGGTACACGTCAACTATGACAGACAAATTGAGAATTTTTTTTCTCCAGAAAATCACATTGTAGGATTTTTTATGAATTTATTTGCAAATTATGGTGGGAAAATAAGTATTTGGTCACCTACAAACAAGCAAGATTTCTGGCTCTCACAGACCTGTAACTTCTTCTTTAAGAGGCTCCTCTGTCCTCCACTCGTTACCTGTATTAATGGCACCTGTTTGAACTTGTTATCAGTATAAAAGACACCTGTCCACAACCTCAAACAGTCACACTCCAAACTCCACTATGGTCAAGACCAAAGAGCTGTCAAAGGACACCAGAAACAAAATTGTAGACCTGCACCAGGCTGGGAAGACTGAATCTGCAATAGGTAAGTAGCTTGGTTTGAAGAAATCAACTGTGGGAGCAATTATTAGGAAATGGAAGACATACAAGACCACTGATAATCTCCCTCGATCTGGGGCTCCACGCAAGATCTCACCCCGTGGGGGGACCTAGTGAATGACCTGCAGAGAGCTGGGACCAAAGTAACAAAGCCTACCATCAGTAACACACTACGCCGCCAGGGACTCAAATCCTGCAGTGCCAGACGTGTCCCCCTGCTTAAGCCAGTACATGTCCAGGCCCGTCTGAAGTTTGCTAGAGTGCATTTGGATGATCCAGAAGAGGATTGGGAGAATGTCATATGGTCAGATGAAACCAAAATAGAACTTTTTGGTAAAAACTCAACTCGTCGTGTTTGGAGGACAAAGAATGCTGAGTTGCATCCAAAGAACACCATGCCTACTGTGAAGCATGGGGGTGGAAACATCATGCTTTGAGGCTGTTTTTCTGCAAAGGGACCAGGACGACTGATCCGTGTAAAGGAAAGAATGAATGGGGCCATGTATCGTGAGATTTTGAGTGAAAACCTCCTTCCATCAGCAAGGGCATTGAAGATGAAACGTGGCTGGGTCTTTCAGCATGACAATGATCCCAAACACACCGCCCGGGCAACGAAGGAGTGGCTTTGTATGAAGCATGTCAAGGTCCTGGAGTGGCCTAGCCAGTCTCCAGATCTCAACCCCATAGAAAATCTTTGGAGGGAGTTGAAAGTCTGTGTTGCCCAGCGACAGCCCCAAAACATCACTGCTCTAGAGGAGATCTGCATGGAGGAATGGGCCAAAATACCAGCAACAGTGTGTGAAAACCTTTTGAAGACTTACAGAAAACGTTTGACCTGTGTCATTGCCAACAAAGGGTATATAACAAAGTATTGAGAAACTTTTGTTATTGACCAAATACATATTTTCCACCATAATTTGCAAATAAATTCATTAAAAATCCTACAATGTGATTTTCTGGAAATTTTTTTCCTCATTTTGTCTGTCATAGTTGACGTGTACCTATGATGAAAATTACAGGCCTCTCTCATCTTTTTAAGTGGGAGAACTTGCACAATTGGTGGCTGACTAAATACATTTTTTCCCCACTGTACTGTGTTCCGTGGGCTGGTTGCTATCATTTTAAATGATGACAATAGATTTCAAAATCCTGCCCCATTTGGTTCACCTCCTGCAGGGACATGGTGGCCACCAGTGTTTCCCTGGCGACGGTCCGTTTCCATGACCTCCTGGGCCAGTTGGACAACCAGCACAGCTGCTTCGCCTTGGAGAACAACTTCCTGTTGCAACACAATATACGCAAGATTAAACGCAACCTGCAGGTAAGGCCAGGGTGGAATGCGGTATTCATTTGTAAGGATTGACATGGATTTATAAGGTAAAAACACTCAGGCACTGGCTATTGAGTATTATTCCGCAAGACTGGTGCTTTGATTCTAAGAAAGAATGCTGCTCTGGAGATGGTGTTTTAATGTCAGATCAGGGCCAATCAGGATCGAGGGTATCAACAATATTTCAATCTGATGTAATGACAGAAACTACACTACATGACCAAAAGTATGTGGACACCTGCTCGTCGAACATCTCATTCAAAAATCATGGGCATTAATATGGAGTTGGTCCCCTCTTTGCTGCAATAACCTCCTCCACTCTTCTGGGAAGGCTTTCCACTAGATGTTGGAACATTGCTGCGGGGACTTGCTTCCATTCAGCCACAAGAGCATTAGTGAGGTTGGGCACTGATGTTGAGCGATTAGGCCTGGCTCGCAGTCGGCGTTCCAATTCATCCCAAAGGTGTTCGATCTCGACCAACCATTAATGTATGGACCTCGATTTGTGCACGGGGGCATTGCCATGCTGAAACAGGAAAGGGCCTTCCCCAAACTGTTGCCACAAAGTTGGAAGCACAGAATTATCTAGATTGTAATTGAATACTGTAGCGTTAAGATTTCCCTTCACTGGAACTAAAGGGCCTAGCCCAAACTATGAAAAACAGCCCCAGACCATTATTCCTCCTCCACCAAACTTTAGAGTTGGCACTATGCATTGGGGCAGGTAGTGTTCTCCTGGCATCCGCCAAACCCAGATTAGTCCGTCGGACTGCCAGATGGTGAAGCGTGATTCATCACTCCAGAGAACGCGTTTCCACTGCTCCAGAGTCCAGTGGCGGCGAGCTTTACACCACTCCAGCCAACGCTTGGCATTGCGCATGGTGATCTTAGGCTTGTGTGCTGCTGCTCGGCCATGGAAACCCATTCCATGAAGTGCCCGACGAACAGTTATTGTGCTGATGTTGCTTCCAGAGGCAGTTTGGAATTCAGTAGTGAGTGTTGCAACCGAGGACAGAAAATTATTTACTCACTTCAGCACTCGGCAGTTCCACTCTGTGAGCTTGTGTGGCCTACCACTTTGCGGCTGAGCCGTTGTTGCTCCTAGATGTTTCCACTTCACAATAACAGCACTTACAGTTGACCGGGGCAGCTCTAGCAGGGCTGTTGGAAAAGTGGCATCCTATGACGGTGCCATGTTGAAAGTCACTGAGCTCTTCAGTAAAGCCATTCTACTGTCAATGTTTGTCTATGGAGATTGCATGGCTGTGTGCTCGATTTTATATACTTGCCAGCAACTGGTGTGGCAGAAATAGCCAAATCCACTAATTTGAAGGGGTGTCCACATACTATTGTGTATATATAGTGTATCTTGAGGTTCTTTAAAGCAATAAGTAACTATTGTATTGTTTGAGTTTTCAAACAGGAACTGGCTATCCAGTCCTTTGTTACAGAAGCCTTTTGATTTAGCAAGCTTAAAGCTGCAATATGTAAATTCTTGGGCGACCCAACCAAATCCACATAGAAATGTGAGGTATAGATCTGTCATTCTCATTGAAAGCAAGTCTAAGAAGTGGTAGATATGTTGTATGTGCGCTATTTCTGTGTTTCTCGTTTGTAAGTTTAGTTTTTGCTTCTTTCACTTTCGGTTTTGTACCCCAGCTTCAAACAGCTGAAAATACAATATTTTTGGTTATTGAAAATAATATTCACAGCAATTTAGATGGTACAATGATTCTCTACACTTGCTTGTTTTGCCACATAAACTGAAATTAGAATTTTAGCAACCAGGAAATGGCGGTGCGATTTCTGCATATTGCACCTTTAATGTTTTATCTGGTTTGGTTGACAGGTTGTTTATAATCAGCATAGCAGGGACATTTCCTTTTTATTAATTACATTTCCAAGAGGTAGCAACTAGCAAGTATGTGAAAAAAAACAGTGGTGCTGGAACAGAACCTTGAGGAACACCCATTCAACTTTTAAAGTTGATTAACTGTCTTCCCAGGACCACTTTCAGGCGGACCCTTTGCACATGGCCATAACTATATGTAACTGTCTGAAAGAGGAGAAGAAAATCCTGGCATCCGCCTTAAAAAAAGAGGTGAGACACTTATCTTGCCTTTTTCATACTGCTTTATGGAAATGTGGGGGTATAGTCTGTTGTAGTGTGTACATGTTCTGAATTGTGATTATGATGCATCCTCTTATGTGTTTTCTAGAAAAGTTATTGTATGGACAATTTAGCCATGAACTGTGATATTTCAGCACATTTCTTAGCAGTATGTGTGTGTGTATGTATTTTTATATATATATATATATATATATATATAAATAAAAAGTAAACCGCCTCTGATATGATGTATTTTATGTTCAATCATTGCTGCAACAGAAGTAGCATTTCAGAGTGTGAAAACAGACCATATTGTCTGTAACTGTTTTTGTCAGGAAAACGTTGGGTCCACACAAAATAATGTGGTGTTGGAGAAACAGAAAGAGCTGAACAACAAAGTCAAAGACCTGAGGAACCAAGTTCAGGTGCGCTCATTTGGCCATTACCATGTGATATTGGTTATGTGTTTTTTTTGTCATGCAAACTACTATGGCACTGTCCATTGTATTGTCATTCTACATGAAAAATAGCCAGTTGAACAGTCTGGGAGAGTAGGATAGAAAATGTTTTTCACAAACATCATCGATGTCCATGAAAAACCAAGTGTGACTTCTGTCCTCTTCAGGATGCAGAGCAGGAGATTAAGTCACTGGAGGACCTACAGGATGAACATGACTTTAAGAAGAAGACCCTGCAGAACCGAGGTACTGTAGGAGTTATAGCCTCTAAGCCTGGTCCTAGTCTATTTCAACAGCCTGGGTCTGGGACACGAGACTAGACTGGTCCCAGATCTGTTAATGCTATATGTCAGGGTTCCCCAACTGGCGGTCCAATGGCCGAATTTGGCCCCCCCAAGTTTTATTGAGCCCCCCAAAAATACATACCGTGCCCTTGACTTTTTCCACATTTTGTTACGTTACAGCCTTATTCTAAAATTGATTTAAATGTTTTTTTTCCCCTCATCAATTTACACAAAATACCCCATAATGACAAAGCAAAAATAGGTTTTTAGACATTTTTTGCAAATGTATTACTAAATAAAAAACAGAAATAATACATTTACATAAGTATTCAGACCCTTTACTCAGTACTTTGTTGAAGCACCTTTGGCAGCGATTACAGCCTTGAGTCTTCTTCGGTATGACGCTACAAGCTTGGCACACCTGTATTTGGGGAGTTTCTCCAATTCTTCTCTGCAGATCCTCTCAAGCTCTGTCAGGTTGGATGAGGAGCGTTGCTGCACAGCTATTTTCAGGTCTCTCCAGAAATGTTAGATTGGGTTCAAGTCCAGGCTCTGGCTGGGCCATTCAAGGACATTCAGAGACTTGTCCTGAAGTCACTCCTGCGTTGTCTTGGCTGTGTGCTTAGGGTCATTGTCCTGTTCGAAGGGGAACCTTCGCCCCAGTCTGAGGTCCCGAGGAGGTTTTTATGAAGGATCTCTCTGTACTTTTCTCCGTTTATCTTTCCCTCGATCATGACTAGTCTCCCAGTCCCTGCCGCTGAAAAACATCCCCACAGCATGATGCTGCCACCACCATGCTTCACCGTAGGGATGGTGACCGGTTTCCTCCAGACGTGACGCTTAGCATTCAGGCCAAAGAGTTCAATCTTGGTTTCATCAGACCAGAGAATCTTGTTTCTCATGGTCTGGAGTCTTTAAGTGCCTTTTGGCAAACTCCAAGCGGGCTGTCATGTGCCTTTTACGGAGGAGTGGCTTCCGTCTGGCCTCTCTACCATAAAGGCCTGATTGGTGGAGTGCTGCAGAGATGGTTGTCCTTCTGGAAGTTTCTCCCATTTCCACAGAGGAATCTAGACCACTGTCAGAGTGACCATCGGTTTCTTGGTCACCTCCCTGACCAAGGCCCTTCTCCCCCGATTGCTCAGTTTGGCTGGGCGGCCAGCTCTAGGAATCCTGTCTCGGAGCTCTACAGACAATTCCTTCGACCTCATGGCTTGGTTTTTGCTCTGACATGCACTGTCAACTGTGGGACCTTATATACACAGGTGTGTGCCTTTCCAAATCATGTCCAATCAATTGAATTTACCATAGGTGGACTCCAATAAAGTTGTAGAAACATCTCAAGGATGATCAATGGAAACAGGATGCACCTGAGCTCAATTTCGAGGCTCATAGCAAAGGGTCTGAATACTTATGTAAATAAGGTATTTTTGTTTATTTTTAATACATTTGCTAAAATGTCAAAAAAAAACTGTTTTCGCTTTGTCGTTATGGGGTGTTGTGTGTAGATTGTTGAGGATTATTATTATTTTTTAAATCCATTGTAGAATAAGGCTTGTAACATAACAAAATGTGGAAAAAGTCAACGGGTCTGAATAGTTTCAGAAATGTTTGTAAATCTTTTCCCAAGTATTCCCACATATAATAGAGAGACACTTGATCATATACAAATGTAAGCAAGGTTTGAAATGATTGTTTTAGTCTAATATTATATCTGTTTGGGCTTCTTGCGGTCATCATCTAGATGATGATCCCTGCTCTATGCTTTCGCCAATGTGAAGGCACTGAAATAACAACTTACTCCTACTGTACTAAAAACTAGTTTCCGGGCTGAAGTATCTGTGCTGTGAAATTCCAGACCTTTCTTTTAATATCAAATTGGGAATGCTTAATGCTATATCAATTGTGACTCTCTGTACTTGTCAGTGGAACAAGAGGTGAATGGGATGACACTGTCACTGGTGGTACAGAAAGAGATCCGTGAAGAGGAGATGGTCATCAGTGCGATGTTCATCAAACTCAACATAACCAGAGAGGTGTGTGTGCGTGGATGCGTGTGTGTCCGAGTGTGTACGCTGTATGGTGAGCTTGTGATGTATGGTTAGCTTGTGATGTATGGTTAGCTTGTGATGTATGGTTAGCTTGTGGTGTTTGTTTCTCCCGACCTATAGGCGGTGGTGCATCAGATAGCTGACATCCTGAACTTGGCCGAGCAGATCCAGTACACCCTGGTGATGGAGGAGATGCCTGACTGGAAGCACAGACAGCAGATTGCGTGTATTGGTGGTCCACCTAATGCCTGTCTAGACCAGCTACAAACCTGGTCAGCCCTGCCTCCTGTCCACCTCAGCTCCTGCCACTGCCCTTACACCTAACCTTAGACCCTGTAAGATACTTTCAACAGCACACTTTCAACCATAACTGTGTGTGTGTGTGTGTGTGTGTGCGTGTGTGTGGGTGTGCAGGTTCACTGCAGTGGCAGAGGGCTTACAGCAGGTACGCCAGCAGCTGAAGAAGCTTCAGGAGCTGGAACAGAAGTACACATACGAGAAAGACCCCATCGCTCAGGGAAAAAGCACTCTGGAGGAACGCGCTCTCGTCCTGTTCAAGAACCTCATTGTCAAGTGAGACCCCGCTCTATGTCACCTATGTCTATGTTCTTGTACCCTATGCTTTGACTTCTTTCTCCCCTCTCTCTCCAGATGAAATCTTGAGACTTGTGACGGCCGGCCGCCCAACAACCTGCCCGCTTGACCCTATCCCATCCTCTCTTCTCCAGACCATTTCCGGAGACCTTCTCCCCTACCTCACCTCGCTCATCAACTCATCCTTGACCGCTGGCTATGTCCCTTCCGTCTTCAAGAGAGCGAGAGTTGCACCCCTTCTCAAAAAACCTACATTCGATCCCTTCTTTCTTTTCTCTCCAAAACTCTTGAGCGTGCCGTCTTTAGCCAACTCTCTTGCTATCTCTCTCAGAATGACCTTCTTGATCCAAACCAGTCAGGTTTCAAGACTGGTCATTCAACTGAGACTGCTCTTCTCTGTGTCACGGAGGCTCTCCGCACTGCTAAAGCTAACTCTCTCTCCTCTGCACTTGTCCTTCTAGACCTGTCTGCTGCCTTTGATACTGTGAACCATCAGATCCTCCTCTCCACCCTCTCCGAGTTGGGCATCTCCGGCGCGACTCACTCTTGGATTGCATCCTACCTGACAGGTCGCTCCTACCAGGTGGCATGGCGAGAATCTGTCTCCGCACCACGTGCTCTCACCACTGGTGTCCCCCAGGGCTCAGTTCTAGGCCCTCTCCTATTCTCGCTATACACCAAGTCACTTGGCTCTGTCATATCCTCACATGGCCTCTCCTATCATTGCTACGCAGACGACACACAATTATTCTTCTCCTTTCCCCCTTCTGATAACCAGGTGGCGAATCGCATCCCTGCATGTCAGTGTGGATGACGGATCACCACCTCAAGCTGAACCTCGGCAAGACGGAGCTGCTCTTCCTCCCGGGGAAGGACTGCCTGTTCAATGATCTCGCCATCACGGTTGACAACTCCATTGTGTCCTCTTCCCAGAGTGCAAAGAACCTTGGCGTGACCCTGGACAACACCCTGTCGTTCTCCGCTAACATCAAGGCGGTGACCCGATCCTGTAGGTTCATGCTCTACAACATTCGCAGAGTACGACCCTGCCTTACACAGGAAGCGGCACAGGTCCTAATCCAGGCACTTGTCATCTCCCGTCTGGATTACTGCAACTCGCTGTTGGCTGGGCTCCCTGCCTGTGCCATTAAACCCCTACAACTCCTCCAGAACGCTGCAGCCCGTCTGGTGTTCAACCTTCCCAAGTTCTCTCACGTCACCCCGCTCCTCCGCACACTCCACTGGCTTCCAGTTGAAGCTCGCATCTGCTACAAGACCATGGTGCTTGCCTACGGAGCTGTGAGGGGAACGGCACCTCCGTACCTTCAGGCTCTGATCAGTCCCTACACCCAAACGAGGGCATTGCGTTCATCCACCTCTGGCCTGCTGGCCCCCCTACCTCTGCGGAAGCACAGTTCCCGCTCAGCCCAGTCAAAACTGTTCGCTGCTCTGGCACCCCAATGGTGGAACAAGCTCCCTCACGACACCAGAACAGCGGAGTCACTCACCACCTTCCGGAGACACTTGAAACCCCACCTCTTTAAGGAATACCTGGGATAGGATAAAGTAATCCTTCTACCCCCCCTTACCCCACCCCAAAGAAGAAGAAAAAAATTTAAAACATTTAAAATATTGTAAAGTGGCTGTCCCACTGGCAATCATAAGGTGAATGCACCAATTTGTAAGTCGCTCTGGATAAGAGCGTCTGCTAAATGACGAAAATGAAATGTAAAATGTTGTAGCAATCACATACACATTAGGGTTTAATCAGTATACCGGGACTTCCCGACCAAGCTCCTTCCCGATTCTCGAGAAAAATATTGATGGGTCCTGTGGACCGATAATATACACATTTTATGCAGCACTAATGCAAAAATACTAAATATGCTTTGCGAATACCTGCATGAATGAACAGGACATATCAATATCTGGCTTCATTCATAGCCTACATTAGACAAGTCCTCACATCGCTAGCAGCCTACCATATTTTGCAAACTCAATGTAAAGTCCCCAATAGAAAACATAACTTCTATAAATTGCATTGCTGACTATCATGTGTAGGCTACACGCAACCTCTTGACGCAGTTCCTGAAGGCAATCTCCACCTCACATTCACAAATCTTCAAACTATCTTTGTGGCACTGGCAGAGTCTCACAATATAAACAGGAGCCACTCACTGTTACCAAAATGTCTGGTACATTGTGTTCACAAACGTGCTCGAGGAAATACATTTGCAACATTGATCCATAATGTTACAATAACAAAAAGAGTGCACGGGTGCTATCCATGTTGCTGAATCTCCACTACTAGGCCTACTTGCTTGTCTGTTTGTTTAGCGGAGAATCAGATAAGTTGTTCCCTTTGACAAAGTCACCACAATACCACAACCTTCTGAAATCCCCCGATAGCCAGGTGCAGGGGATAGAAAAGGGCCAACAAGCTGGCTGACATCTAAAACGAATTACATTTTCACTAGGCTGTAGGCTAATAACCTCATCATATTTGTTCTGTCTCCTGGGCTTCATAACCACGTCTTTATAACAATTCAATAATGATGAGACTGGAGACAGGAATCTGTTAAAACATTTATCTAGAACGTGTTCAGTCTCAACACATGCAACTCCCATGATGCTCTGTTGCACAACCCCAATACACCACATCTCCTCCTTTCTTACTTAAATTATTATTATTATTATTAATTTTTTTTCTTTTTTTTTTCTTTCTGGGGTTAGATCAGCTTAATATTGCATATAGAAGTTACAATCTATCAATGTAATTGTCTCCATCACTTCCAATCCCCCATGTTTTTTTTATATATATACTCCCCTTTATTATTTTTCAACCCTGCCATCCTTTCCCTACTTGGGGTAAATTAGTGAACAACAATGCCCAGGCCTCTACTTCCAGCCTATACTTACTATCTACACCTTATGGACACAGTCAATTTTACAATAATTCTATTTTATTTGTTTTTGCTCCTGAACTTCTTCTACTCTCAACCTCTCCGATCATTTTCATGATGTCCATCTGGTTTGCTTCTATATGCCATATCTTTCTAACTGTGCTCTTTCCCAAAAGCTCCCAACATACAACCTATATACTTTCTTACTTAAATTGTCCCCATTATGAACAACAGTCCCGAGAAGGTGACTGTGAGGCCCTAGGTGACGACTACTGGGTCAGGGTGTCACCCAGTAACAGTTCTAGACCACTCACGACTGGTGGTTCTGTCGGTGTGGCTTTACTCAACAGTAACTGATATGTGTGCCTTTTCCAGATGACATCTTCTGCAGTCTGGACAGTGTAGGACACAGGACCAGTTGGATCAATGACTGTAGCAGGAACCCACTTTGGCCCGTTGAGGTAGTTCTTAGCTAAGATAGTTTATCCAGGGTTAAAAGCTCTGTTCTTTGCTCTCAGTTCACAACGTTTGACTTGACTGTCCTGTTGACATCGCGTTCGCATCTCCTTTGCGTTCAGAGGTTTGAGTAGGTTGAAGCTTGTGCATAACTCTCTCTTCTTGAGTAGCGATGCAGGCGAAGCCTTGGTGGTTGCGTGAGTCGTGTTCCTGTAGGATAGCAGTAAGCTGTTCAAACATTGTTGCAGTGTCCCTTGACCTTGAGACACTTTTAAGGCATGTTTCATGGTCTGTACGAACCTCTCTGCCAGCCCATTGTTAGATGGATGGTACGGGGTGGACCTGATATGCTGTACACCATTCACCTGTAGGAACGTAGTCATTTCTTAGGACACTAGCTGCGGTCCGTTGTCGCTAATGAGTTGGAGTGGTGATCCGAACTGACTAAGCACTCTTCTCAGCAGTAGTAGACCTCATGATGGCAACTCTGGTCACTTGCTATGAGCATCAAAGACCATGAGAAACATTTTGTCTTCGAATGGACCTGCGAAGTCAACGTGAATGTGTTGCCATGCTTCCTTCGGCCAATCCCACGGATGAAGAAGTTGAGGTACATTGCAAACCTTCTGACATGAGGAGCATGTTTTTGCTTTCTCCTCAATGCTTCCATCCAAAAATGCCACCAGAAGTAGCTTTGTGTGATTTCCTTCATGCAAACCATTCCACAATGACCTGAGTGTAGCTGTTGCAACACTGGTTTCCTCAGTGAAGGCGGAATGATAACTCTCCTCCCCCACAGCAGACAACCAGATGTATTGACAGCTCAGTTCTCCTGGAAAGGTAAGGTTTCAGTTCTGGAGCATCTCCTGCGGCTTTACTTTTGATGGCAATGTCCATTACTTCAGATAACACCGGGTCATTTCTGGTGTTTCTTCGCACTTGTGTTGAAGTGACTGGTGCATTTTCCACTTGCCTGAAGTGGAAGATGTCCACTTGGGTGACTCCAGCTTGACCACAGGTAGTGGCAACCTGGAAAGTCCATCTGCGTTGCAATGCAGTTCTGACTTGCGATACTTGATGTTGTAGGTGTGTGCTGACATTAACAAAGCCCACGTTTGCATTCTGCTTGCAGCAAGTGATGGAATCCCAGAATGCTGTCCAATGATGTTCGTCAGCGAACAATGATCTGTAAGAAGGGTGAACTTCCTCCTGTACAGATACTGGTGAAATTTACGCACTCCAAAATCTATGCCTAGGGCTTCTCGTTCTATCTGTGCGTAGTTACGTTCTGCTTTGTTCAATGTCCTCAATGCGATAGCAATCTGCTTCTCTTCACCTGAAGGCATGATATGGGACACGACTGCTCCCACACCAAATTGGTTTAGCCTCACAAGCTAGTTGGATGGGCAATGACGGGTCGAAGTGTGTCAGTGCTTCAGATTTCAATAGTGTTTTCATGAATGCTTCCTCGCATTGTTCTGTCCATTTCCATGTTTTGTCCTGACAAAACAACTGATGCAGAGGTTTCAGCTTTGTTGCTAAGCTTGGAATAAAGTGTCCGTAGTAATTCATCAACCCCAGGAAAAAACGTAGTTGGCTCACGTTCTTAGGAGCTGGGGTGTCCAAAATAGCCTTGACCTTGGATGGATCCTTGTGAAGGCCCGTGGCGTCGATGACGTGTCCAACGTAATCAACTGATGATTGGAAGAATGCACATTTGTCCGTACGAACTCACAGGCCGTAGTCCTTCAATCTCTGCAAGGTTGCATCCAAGTTCTGGAGGTAGTCCTCTTCGTCTTTCCCAGTAACGAGGATGTAATCCAGGTAGCATTGTACTCCTGGCAATCCACTCAAGATTTGGTCCATCGCCCTCTGGAACAGTGCTGGCACACTTGTGATTCCAAACGGTAGATGACAGTACCTGAAGACCCCCTTTAGTGTCACAACGACTAGCAGCTCGTTTGACTTTTCATCCACGTGCCTCTTCAAGTAGGCTTCGCAGAAGTCGATCTTGCTGAACTTTTGACCTCCAGCTAAACCTGCGAAAAGGTTGTCAATGTGTGGTAGCGGATACTGCTCAGCAGACAACACAGGGTTAACTGTGACTTTGAAGTCTCCACATATCCTGATTCCACCATCCTTAAAGGGATACATTGGGATTTTGGCAATGATGCCCTTTGTCTACTTCCCCAGAGTCAGATTAACTTGTCGATACCATTTTTATGTCTCTATGTCCAGTATGAAGGAAGTTGGAGGTAGTTTCGCGAGCCTGTGCTAACTAGCGTTAGCGGAATGACTGGAAGTCTATGGTTATCTGCTATCATGCTCATTTAGCACATTTATTCTAAAGTTTGTCTTCACAGTTGAATAAATGTCCTTTCCTTTACTCACTGTATATTCCTCCCTTTTATCACGTTGTTTTCCCGCTCCGACGTCAGTCTCAAATCCTTTTCTGCCGCCCCATGACAATGCCGCCCCATCTCTTAGCTATTTCGACTATGCACTTGCCTCTGCTAGCAATACACTGTGCTAACATTAACCTAGACCTGCAGCATGGAAAATAACATTTTAAACATGTAAAAAAAGGACTTCTTCCAGACAGAATAAACATTAAACCCTAATACACATACAGTACAGTGAGTGCATACATGTTTAGTACGTTTCTTTGGACAAAAGTGTCTGCTAAGTGGCATTATTATCTATCATTATTATGTAGCAGAGTTGGTTCAGTGAACTACGCTCGCATGGAAGGTAACCTTGCCTGAGACCTGGGGTGTGATCATTAGTCCAAACCGTTACAAACAGAAAATGTTTTGCAGTAAAAACTAGAGTTTCTGTTGGACAAATTCAGGTAGGTCCCTCCCTGTTTCGTTCCGTTTGCTTCTGTTTGGTTCCTAATACATCCCAGAAGACTTGAGTTAGCTCCCAGAGTTAATGTCTAGACTAGGCTTTAGTGGAGTGTCATAGGAGTGTGACTATCAGATGATTGAGAGTATGTTTCTGTGGTGTCTGTCTTTCAGTTCTATGGTGGTGGAGAGACAGCCCTGTATGCCCACTCAACCCCAAAGACCTCTGGTGCTGAAGACTGGGGTGCAGTTCACTGTCAAAATCAGGTGGGGGAGCCAGTGCCACACACACTCCAAACTCAATGTGCAATACTGTATAGTGATTAGTTAGTAGAATCAGCTGGGTTATAGCAGGGCTGGAGCAAAAGCCTGCCAACCTAAACAACCTTATTTTAACAATCTTGTGTCAATGTTGTCCCCAGACTGCTGGTGAAACTTCAGGAATTCAACTACCAGCTCAAAGTCAAAGCTCTGTTTGACAAGTAAGTGAATGAGTGTGTATAATAGAAGTGAACTGCCCTGAGAGTATACTTGATTCTGTAACCTTTTACCTTGAAGGCCCCTTATTAAGATGACACCGCGCGTTCAGAAGTAATTTTTCAAATGTAATTCATGACCCCTTTCATAAGCAGCATATCTATAATAGAGTAATAGAGATAAACAGAAATGATACTACTATTCTTATATTCAACATATTTCATTATATTTGATCAATGACAAGAGTCAAAGCTTGAGTCACTGATGTGTGTTGTCTTTCTTTAGGGACGTCACTGAGAGGAATTCAGTGAGAGGGTAAGAATTCATTTTCTCTTCATTTTAAAACCTATACCTGAAAAAGCCTAGCAGTGATTACATTTCCTCTAAATTGATGTCATTTTCCAGGTTCCGGAAATTCAACATCTTAGGAACTAATACTAAGGTTATGAACATGGAGGAGTCCAATGGAAGCTTGGCAGCAGAATTCAGACACCTGGTATGAATTGACACAAGATACAATGTCGTTGTGTCATATACTGTATTTTTTTATTTGTACAACCATGCCATTTTCACCAGATTCTGCTAGAAAGCTCGTTTTCATCTGTAGTCCCTGGGCAGAAAACAATCAACATCAATGCGTCATTACAATGCTACAATATAACACACTATTAATATATACAGTATATATAACAATCTAAATATCCAACAATAGACAATATAATGATAATATTACATTACAGTTTAAATGTCCCTTGGTCTTACAGTATCTGTCATCTTAAGAGTTGGAATGTCTTAATGTTCACATGACTGGTTTGCCTTTAGCCACTTTTTCAGGTTTGCCTTGACGCTAGGAAAGGTACTGTACTCTCTCACACTGGTTGGCAGGGTGCTCCATAATCCAGATGCTGTTGTCTGGCCAAACTGTAGTGGTCGTTAGTCTGTTACGAACTCTCCTAAGAGAGTGGGTTGTGGTAAGCATTCTTGCCTTGGGCGACTCGGGTTTGGGTCCCCTAATTCTGTACCTACCACTGGTCACAGCAATATGTACAAAATATTAAGAACACCTTCCTACTATAGAGTTGCACCCCAACCCCCACCCTTTTGCCCTCAGAATAGACTCCATTCATTGGGGCATGGACTCTACAGGGTGTCGAAAGCGTTCCACAGGGATGCTGGCCCATGTTGACTCCAATGCTTCCCACAGTTGTGTCAAGTTGGCTGGATGTCCTTTGGGTGGTGGACCATTCTTGATACACGAGAAACTGTTGAGCGTGAAAAATCCAGCAGCGTTGCAGTTCTTGACACAAACCGGTATACCTGGCACCTACTACCATATTCTGTTCAAAGGCACTTAAAACTTTTGTCTTGCCCATTCACCCTCTGAATGGCACACATACATAATCCATGGCTCAATTGTCTCAAGGCTTAAAAATAAATCTTTAACCTGTCTCCTCTCCTTCATCTACACTGATTGAAGTGGATTTTAACAAGTGACATCAATAAGGGATCATAGCTTTCACCTGGATTCACCAGGTCAGTCTATGTCATGGAAAGAGCCGGTGTTCTTAATGTTTTGTACACTCAGTGTACGGTATACTGTATATGTCATACCAATATTTGTGTGCTGCAGGTGGCATCTCAACTACAATTATTTTCTTCCCCAGCAACCAAAGGAGCTGAAGGCTACAGGCAACAGAACAAACGACGTAAGGAAATGTAACAATTATTTTAATTTGTATCATTATGCGTGTGGGAATGCTGTATCTAAGCTAAACCACAGTCTGCATTAGCATATCATCGTTGTCAATAGAAAACCTAACTGTGTGTGTGTCCACTCAGGGTCCTCTCATAGTGACAGAGGAGCTCCACTCCATCAGCTTTGAGACACAACTCTGTCAGCCAGGACTCCAGGTCAACCTGGAGGTGAGAACAACAGTTTAGTTTGTGGAGCTTTCAATAAACGTGCTATACAGTCATAGGAGCAATGTTTCTGAGTAGTACATACCATGGTACCTTACTGTCTGTACTGATGTGCACTTGTGTGTGTGTCCAGACGACATCCCTGCCCATTGTGGTCATCTCCAACATTAGCCAGCTGCCCTGTGCCTGGGCCTCAGTCATGTGGTACAACATGTTGACCAGTGAGCCCAAGGTACCCAACCCCTCTCACCTCACAAAATATATTCCGTCATGTGATCCATGGGCTACCAATTTCTGAAGAGCTACTGGATGTGCAGGCGTTTGTTCCACCCCAGCTCAGCTAATCATCTCTGTCCCTCTCTTTCCTCCTCCTCAGAATCTGTCGTTCTTCCTGAGCCCTCCCGAGGCCACCTGGAGCCAGTTGTTGAAGGTGCTGAGCTGGCAGTTCTCCTCCGTAACCAAGCGAGGCCTCAACGACGAGCAGCTGAGCATGCTGGGAGGCAAGCTCCTGGGTGAGTCTGGGAGAGGGAGTTCTTATTGTGACTAGGAGTGGTTTTGTGCAACGACACAGCCACAGCAAAGCCAACTGTGATTTAAAGGAGCGCTAGTTGTTAGACATACATAGGTGAGGTGGCCAATAGTTTTTCTTGACACTCATGTCCGGCAAATGAGTTTAGGTAGCCAATTGATTTGGCTAACTCATCTTAGATAAAGGCTAACAATACAATTGTTGCTTAAGATCTATTCACCATATAAAAAAGGTGCATAAACATTCCTCACTTCCCTCATCAACTCATCCCTGACCACTGGCAGCGACCCCTCTGACTTCAAAATGGCCCGAGTCGCTTCCCTCCTCAAGAAACCAACACTCGACCCATCTGACGTCAAAAACGACAGACTGGTATCCCTTCTTTCTTTTCTTTCCAAAACACTTGAGTGTGCTGTCTCTGATCAACTCTCTCAGAACGATCTTCTTGACCCTAACCAGTCAGGCTTCAAGACGGGTCACTCAACCGAGACTGCTCTTCTCTTTGTGACAGAGGCTCTCCGCACTGCCAAAGCTGACTCTCTCCCCTCTGTTCTCATCCTCCTAGATCTATCTGCTGCCTTCGACACCGTGAACCATCAGATCCTCCTCTCCACCCTCTCAGGGCTGGGCGTCTCAGGCTCTGCACACTATTGGATTGCATCCTACCTGGCAGGCCGCACCTACCAGGAGACATAGAGAGGATCTGTGTCTGCATCATGTACTCTCACTACTGGTGTCCCCCAGGGCTCGGTTCTAGGCCCTCTCCTCTTCTCTCTATACACCAAGTCACTCGGCTCCGTCATATCCTCACATGGTCTCTCCTATCATTGCTATGCGGATGACACTCAACTACTTTTCTCCTTCCCCCCTTCTGACACCCAGGTGGCGACACGCATCTCTGCGTGCCTGGCAGATATCTCCGCTTGGATGTTGGCCCACCACCTCAATAGCAACCTAATCCAGGCAATTGTCATCTGCTGCCATCAAACCCCTGCATCTTATCTAGAACACTGCAGCCCGCCTGGTTTTCAACCTTCCCAAGTTCTCCAATGTCACCCCGCTCCTCCGCACACTCCACTGCCTTCCAGTCAAACTCGTATCCACTACAAGACCATGGTGCCTTAGGAGCAGCAAGAGGAACTACCCTCCTTACCTTCAGGCTATTCTCAAACCCTACACCCCAACCCGAGCACTCCGTTCTGCCACCTCTGGTCTCTTGGCCCTCCCCATTCCTACGGGAGGCACTCCCTCTCAGCCCAGTAAAAGGCTTTCTCTGTCCTGGCACCCCAATGGTGGAACCATCTTCCCCCAAAGCTTAGGACAGCAGAGTCCCTGCCCATCTTCCGAAGCACCTGAAACCCTCCCTACCTCTTCAGAGTTCTTAAAAATCCCTCCTCAACCTCGACCCCCCCCCCGTAAGTCCTCGGATAAGAGCGTCTGCTAAATGACAAAATGGTATATGTAATGTAAATGTAAACAGCTTATGACGATAGTCCCAGTCAAAAGTTGACACACCTACTCCTTCAAGGGTTTTCTTTTATTTTACTATTTTCTACATTGTAAATCAATAGTGAAAGACATCAACTATAAATACACACATATGGAATCATGTAGTAACCCAAAAAGTGTTAAACAAATCAAAACATATTTTAGATTTTAGATTCTTCAAAGTAGCCACCATTTGCCTTGATGGCAGCTTTGCACACTCTTGGCATTCTCTCAACCAGCTTCATCAGGTAGTCACCTGAAATGCATTTCAATTAACAGGTATGCCTTGTTAAAAGTTAATTAGTTAACATTGAAGAATCTCAAATATATTTTGATACTTTTTTGGTTACTTCATGATTCCATATGTGTTATTTCATAGTTTTGATGTCTTCACTATTATTCTACAATGTAGAAAATAGTAAAAATAAAGAAAAACCCTTGAATGAGTAGGTGTGTCCAAACCTTTGACTGGTACTGTATGTCATGTAATGCTCATAAGTGTAAGCTAAGGTCATTCCATTGAAGTGAACCAATAAAGTGAACCAATAATACTAGGACCCTCCTGTGACAGGTCGAGAGGTAGCAGGAAATCCTAATGGGCTCATCCCCTGGACCAAGTTCTGCAAGGTGAGCATCACACTTTAAGTTGTTTTAGCCAACCCCTTTGTGTTTACTATGAGCTGTGTAGTGAGTGTGTCTTTGCCTGAGCAGAATGTGAATGGAAAGAGCTTTCCCTTCTGGCTGTGGATCGAGGGAATCCTGGACCTGATCAAGAGACACCTGCTGTGTCTGTGGAATGATGGGTAAGAGCTTCGATTCACACAGTTAGTCTGAATATGTCTAGAATACCTCACCATCACACCAATCAAACTCACATTATTTCAGTATGCCTTTCTGAAGCCTTAGGTCTACATTGTATTTGTGAAAAGATACTTTATTGTGCTATAATCCATTGAATCTCTCTGGGAGGTAGGTGCATCATGGGCTTTGTCAGTAAGGAGAGAGAGAAGGCCCTGCTGAAGGACAAGAAGCCTGGGACTTTCCTGCTGCGCTTCAGCGAGAGCAGCCGGGAGGGAGCCATCACCTTTACCTGGGTAGAGCACTCCAATGACGGTGTGTGGTGTGTGTGTGTGTGTGTGTGTGTGTGTGTTTGTAGCTATTCTGTAACATACACATTATGAATATGTGTCCGTCTGTCTCTTCTTGTATATGGGTTTCAGTTTGTATTATTTTACCAGGTAATCTGACTGAGAACACACCATCATATCACATTCTGTGTGTTAATTTATGTATAACTATGAACATACAGACATCCATTTCCGAACGGTGGAGCCCTACACTAAGAAGGAGCTGGCCGCCGTCTCCTTCGCTGACATCCTCCACAATTACAAGGTGATGGCTGCCGAGAACATCCCTGAGAACCCTCTCGTCTACCTCTACCCCAAGCATCCCCAAAGACAGCGCCTTAGCACGCTACTACACCCGCCCCACAGAAGGTAACTAACTCTCTACTACAGCCGAAATTTATGTATTTTGAGGAAAGATTGAGTAGTTGAAAAGGTACAAATGGTGTTGTGGACTTCAATTCCAGTCAAAGCTATTTATCCACAATATTCACTGCATACTGTAGCATACCTTTCATATGTTTGTTGTGCCACACCATTTTCCCCATTGAAATACTGGCCACTGGTAATGTCTTGGTTCTGATTATGACCCCTCAACGTGTATAACTGACCTTCCCAGCTGCTGAGCCAATGGAGATGGAGAGTGAGTCTGAGGCTGGCTACATTAAGAAAGAACTTATCTCTGTGTCTGAAGTGTAAGTGTGATTCTTGTTATGAAACACCTTCTAGTGTTTTTATATAGGCTTTCATTGGTTTTAGATGCACAGTACAATGAAAAGTCAAATGAAGGTATTTTGGTATTTTATTAGGATTCCCATTAGCTGATGCAAGAGCAGCAGCTACTCTTCCTGGGGTCCACATGAAACATGACATAATACAGAACATTAATAGACAAGAACAGCTCAAGGACAGAACTACATAAAAACATTTTAAAGGCACACGTAGCCTACATATCAATACATACACAGAAACTATCTAGGTGAAATAGGGGAGAGGCGTTGTGCCGTGAGGTGTTGCTTTATCTGTTTTTTTAAACCAGGTTTGCTGTTTATTTGAGCAAATGAGATGGAACGGAGTTCCATGCATAAATGGCTCTATATAATACTGTACGCTTTCTTGAATTTGTTCTGGATTTAAGGACTGTGAAAAGACCCCTGGTGGAATGTCTGGTGGGGTAAGTGTGAGTGTCAGAGCTGTGTGTAAGTTGACTATGCAAACAATTTGGGATTTTCTTATAAAAAGAAGAAGTGATGCTGTCAGTCTTTCCTCAACTCTTAGCCAAGAGAGACTGGAATGCATAGTGTATATATACAGTGGGGAGAACAAGTATTTGATACACTGCCGATTTTGCAGGTTTTCCTACTTACAAAGCATGTAGAGGTCTGTAATTTTTATCATAGGTACACTTCAACTGTGGGAAACGGAATCTAAAACAAAAATCTAGAAAATCACATTGTATGATTTTTAAGTAATTCATTTGCATTTTATTGCATGACATAAGTATTTGATCACCTACCAACCAGTAAGAATTCCGTCTCTCACAGACCTGTTAGTTTTTCTTTAAGAAGCCCTCCTGTTCTCCACTCATTACCTGTATTAACTGCACCTGTTTGAACTCGTTACCTGTATAAAAGACACCTGTCCACACACTCAAACAGACACCAACCTCTCCACAATGGCCAAGACCAGAGAGCTGTGTAAGGATATCAGGGATAAAATTGTAGACCTGCACAAGGCTGGGATGGGCTACAGGACAATAGGCAAGCAGCTTGGTGAGAAGGCAACAACTGTTGGCGCAATTATTAGAAAATGGAAGAAGTTCAAGATGACGGTCAATCACCCTCGGTCTGGGGCTCCATGCACTCGCCACCTCCCTGTTGCGCCCCTGGTCTGGTCTGGACCTTGGCGCGCTGCTTCCCCTCTCCTTCCTCCCACGACGTACCAAGTCCTGTCTGGAACCTGGTGTGGGAGACACCGAACCTGGAGAGGGGCTGACGTCTGGCTCTGGACTGGAGCCGCTGACCGGATCTGGACTGGACCCCGGTGGAGCGGATTGCTCTGGCTCCAGAGTGGAGCAGCTGACCGGAGCTGAACTGGGCACCGGTGGAGCGGACTGCTCTGGCTCCGGAGTGGATCCGCTGACCGGAGCTGGACTGGACCCCGGTGAAGCGGATTGCTCTGGCTCCGGAGTGGACAGGCACGGGCCGTGCCGTACTGGACACACGCACCACTGGCTTGATGCGAGGGACAGGAACGGGCCGGACCGGGCTGACGACGCGCACCACTGTCTTGGTGCGGGGAGCAGGAACGGGACGTACCGGACTGGCGACGCGCACCACTGGCCTGGTGCGGGGAGCAGGAACGGGACGTACCGGACTGGCGACGCGCACCACTGGCCTGGTGTGGGGAGCAGGAACAGACTGGGCCGGGCTGGCGACGCGCACCACTGGCTTGGTGCGAGGGACAGGAACGGGCCGGACCGGGCTGGCGACGCGCACCACTGGCTTGGTGCGAGGGAAAGGAACGGGCCGGACCGAGCTGGCGCCGCGCACCACTGGCTTAGTGCGAGGGGCAGGAAAGGGCCGGACCGGGCTGGCGACGCGCACCACTGGCTTGGTGCGAGGAGCTGGAACGGGCCGGACCGGGCTGGCGACGCGCACCACTGGCTTGGTGCGAGGGGCAGGAACGGGCAGGAACGGGCCGGACCGGGCTGGCGATGCGCACCACTGGCTTGGTGCGAGGGGCAGGAACGGGCCGGGCCGGGCTGGCGACGCGCACCACTGGCTTGGTGCGAGGGGCAGGAACGGGCCGGGCCGGGCTGGCGACGCGCACCACTGGCTTGGTGCGGGGAGCAGGAACGGGCCGGGCCGGGCTGGCGACGCGCACCACTGGCTTGGTGCGGGGAGCAGGAACGGGCCGGACCGGGCTGGCGACGCGCACCACTGGCTTGGTGCGGGGAGCAGGAACGGGCCGGGCCGGGCTGGCGACGCGCACCACTGGCTTGGTGCGGGGAGCAGGAACGGGCCGGGCCGGGCTGGCGACGCGCACCACTGGCTTGGTGCGGGGAGCAGGAACGGGCCGGGCTGGCGACGCGCACCACTGGCTTGGTGCGGGGAGCAGGAACGGGCCGGGCCGGGCTGGCGACGCGCACCACTGGCTTGGTGCGGGGAGCAGGAACGGGCCGGGCCGGACTGGGAACACGCACCACTGTCTTGGTGCGGGGAGCAGGAACGGGCCGTACCGGACTGTGGAGGTGGACTGGAGGTCTGGAGCGGAGAGCTGACACAACCCGTCCTGGCTGGATGCCTACATCCACACAATATGTGTGAGGCATTAGCACAGGACGTACGGGGCTGTGCACGCGTACTGGCGATACAGTACGTAGCACCGGCGCAGGATATACGGAACCGAGGAGGCGTACTGGAGACCACGAGCGTTGAGCCGGCACACCCCGTCCTGGCTGAATGCCCATCTTCGCACGACACGTGCGTGGTGCTAGCACAGGACGTACAGGACTGTGCCGGAACACTCGCGGCACAGTACGTAGCTCCGCATAACACGGAGCCTGCCCAGTCACATGCTTCCTAGCATGAGTACGGGGAGTTGGCTCTGCTCTAACACTAGGCTCCGCCAACCACCCTTTTAGCCCCCCCCCAAAAAAAAAATATTGGGGCTGTCTCTCGGGCTTCCTCCTCGGCCGGCACCTTCTGCGTTGCCGCTGCTCCTCTCTATAGCGCGCCTCCACTGTCTCCTCCCAAGGACAGCGATCCATTCCGGCCTGAATCTCCTCCCAAGTCCAGGATCCCTTCCCGTCCAGGATCTCCTCCCACGTCCAGGCTGTCTGCTCCTGGACACGCTGCTTGGTCCTCATTTGGTTGGATCTTCTGTCACGATCGTTTAAAGACTGGTCGAACCAAGGCGCAGCATGATAAGCGTACATGTTTATTAAACGAATAAACACACGACAAAACAACAAACAAACGATACGTGAAGTCTTAAGGTACACACAACAAACCTATACGGAACAAGATCCCACATCCCACTAGTGCCAACAGGCTACCTAAGTATGGTCCCCAATCAGAGACAACTAGCAACAGCTGCCTCTGATTGGGAACCACCCTGGCCAACATAGATCTATACATACTAGATCTAACCATAGACAATAAACATAGCACAACACGACACAGAAAATACACACCCTGACTCAACAAATACGAGTCCTAGAGTCAGGGCGTGACAAATCTAAGACGTGCCGCTATGTTTTGGGCCAGCTGCAGCTTAACTAGGTATTTCCTTGCAGCACTGGACCACACGACTGGACAATAATCAAGATTAGACAAAACTAGAGCCTGCAGAACTTGCTTTTTGGAGTGTGGTGTCAAAAAATCTCTTTATTACGGACAGACCTCTCCCCATCTTTACAACCATTGAATCTATATGTTTTGACCATGATAGTTTACAATCTAAGGTAACGCCAAGTAATTTAGTCTCCTCAACTTGTTCAACAGCCACACCATTCATTACCAGATTCAGCTGAGGTCTAGAACTTAGGGAATGATTTGTACCAAATACAATGCTCTTAGTTTTAGAGATGTTCAGGACCAGTTTATTAGTGGCCACCCATTCCAAAACAGACTGCAACTCTTTGTTAAGGGTTTCAGTGACTTCATTAGCTGTGGTTGCTGATGCGTATATGGTTGAATCGTCAGCATACATGGACACACATGCTTTGTTTAATGCCAGTGGCAGGTCATTGGTCAAAATAGAAAAGAGTAGAGGTCCTAGAGAGCTGCCCTGCGGTACACCACACTTTACATGTTTGACATTAGAGAAGCTTCCATTAAAGAAAACCCTTTGAGTTCTATTAGATAGATATCTCTGAATCCACGATATGGCAGAGGTTGAAAAGCCATAACACATACGGTTTTTCAACAACAGGTTATGGTCAATAATATCAAAGGCTGAACTGAAATCTAACAGTACAGCTCCCACAATCTTCATATCAAATTCTTTCAACCAATCATCAGTCATTTGTGTCAGTGCAGTAGATGTTGAGTGCCCTTCTCTATAAGCATGCTGAAAGTCTGTTAATTTGTTTACAGAGAAATAGCATTGTATTTGGTCAAACACCATTTTTTCCAACATTACTTTGGCTTCCCTCCAGGCCTGAGGACAAAGACTTTCCTCTAGGCTCAGATTAAAGATATGACATATAGGAGTGGCTATAGTGTCAGCTACCATCCTCAGTAGCTTTCCATCTAAGTTGTCAATGCCAGGAGGTTTGTCATTATTGATTGATAACAATAATTTTTCCACCTCTCCCACACTAACTTTACCAAATTCAAACTTGCAATGCTTTTCTTTCATTATTTGTTTTTTTATGCTTGAATACGATGGCTCACTGTTCATTGTTGGCATTTCCTGCCTAAGTTTGCCCACTTTGCCAATGAAGTAGTCATTAAAATAATTGGCAACATCAAATGGTTTTGTGATGAATAAGCCATCTGATTCGATGAAAGATGGAGTTGAATTCGTCTTTCTTCCCATAATTTCATTTAAAGTACTGTTTTTTTTACATCATTCTTTATATCATTGATCTTGGCTTCATAATACAGTTTCTTCTTCTTTTTGTTGAGTTTAGTCACATAATTTCTCAATTTGCAGTAACTCAACCATTCAGATGTGCAGCCAGACTTATTAGCCACTCCTTTTGCCCCATCTCTTTCAACCATACAGTTTTTCAATTCCTCATCAATCCATGGAGCCTTAACAGTTCTAACAGTTTCCTAACAGGTGCATGTTTATCAATAATTGGAAGAAGCCATTTCATAAATTAATAAAGTGCAGCGTCTGGATGCTCCTTATTAATCACATCAGACCAACAAATATTTTTTACATCATCCGCATATGAGTCACATCAAAATCTTTTGTATGATCTCTTATACAGTTAGGCCCAGCTGTTGGAACTTTGGCTTTCCTGGATATACCCACTATATTGTGATCACTGCATCCAATGGGTACGGATACAGCTTTAGAACAAAGTTCTACTGTATTAGTAAAAATGTGATTGATACATGTGGATGATATTGTTCCTCTAGTGTTTGTAAACACCCTGCTAGGTTGATTAATAACCTGAACCAGATTACAGGCACTGGTTACAGTAAGAAGCTTCCTCTTGAGCGGACAGCTTGATGAAAACCAGTCAATATTCAGGTCCCCAAGAAAGTAGACCTCTCTGTTTACATTACATACACTATCAAGCATTTCACACATATTATTTAGATACTGACTGTTCGCACTTGGTGGCCTATAGCAACACCCCAAAAGAAAAGGCTTTAGATGTGGCAAGTGAACCTGCAACCACAACACTTCAATAACACTTGACATAAGATCTTCTCTAAGCATTACAGGGATATGGCTCTGAATATATACAGCTACACCTCCCCCATAAGCATTTCTGTCTCTTCTATAGATGTTATATTCTTGTATTGCTATTGCTGTATCATCAAATAAATTATCTAAGTGAGTCTCAGAAATGGCTAATATATTAATGTTATATGATGTTAGCAAGTTATTGATTTCATTAACCTTATTTCTAAGGCTACATATATTAATATGGGCTATTTTCAGCCCTTTCCTGGGTAGCATATCAGAGATAGACATAATAATGAAAAAGCAAACAAAGTAAGATAAGAAAATATATACATTCAGCAGTCCATTAATCAATTGGTGTGTGTGTGTGTGTGTGCTGCGGGGTTGAAGCTACGAACCCATAGGCTTGGCTCTCTCATACCTTCCAGGCTTCTGGGAGGGAGGGTGGGCAATGAGCCTGTCAAAGCGGATGTAAGCAATGTCCCCACGCGCTCTGGCAGCTTTCATGGCTGGGATAAGTTATTTCCTCTTCTGGCGCACAGTTTCAGGATAGTCCTAATTGAGAAAGGTATACGTTCCTCTCAAGTTCTTGGCTCTTTCCAGAACAGCTACCTTGTTCTTGAACCTCAGGAACTTGACCATTATCGGCCAGGGCCTGTCACCTGGGCCGGTGGTGGGTTTTCCAGTCCTGTGGGCACGCTCCACCTCAATCTTCCTGTGGTTCATCTTCAATTTCTCAGAGATAATTTCCCTCACTTTGTCCTCAGACTCCGTCCAGGTCTCATGTGGAGACTCTGCAATTCCGTCCACAACCATGTTGTTACGCCATGATTGTCCCATTGTTATCATGGATTCACACATAGAACTGATGTCCTCTCTCAATGACTTACAGATTGATGTAATCGTGCCATTCTCCTGTTTCAACTCATCGAGCTGACCCTGGGAGAACTGCAAACTGTTCTTTAGGTCCTGGACCTCTCTGCTCAGGTCGTCCATTATTTTATTAGTCGAATCCACCAGTATTTGGACAAAGCACTTGAAGGTATTTTCTTGTTGTTGTAACAACTGCTTGTAGAACTATTTTTGTCGTTTAAAAAAATTATTCACGTGTGATAGAGAGACACCACTGTCCTCGACAACGGTACTCCTGCCGGCTTTGGCCTTTGTCATGGTAGCTAGCAACGTAGGTTACGCTGTTACTCCTCGCAGTTCCAGACAGGGCAGGTCACAGGGAAGATTCGAAACAACAAACAGCAGGGATCTAGACAGCCACAAAGCCGGAACAATCTGCGGTCCCAGCCACAATGGCTAACCGCGTCGCGGGCTGCGTTCAAGCCCTCAAGAAAACTCCGCTAGCTTGATATGCTGCTAGCTAGCTAGCTAGCAGCTAGGCTAGCTGCAACGCCAAATAGCTCCTCAGACCCATCCTAGGTTGGCAGGATCACTGGACAGAGACTAGCAATCCCAGCATCTGATGTCACGGGATCCAAACTAAAAAGTTAGGTAGCTACTAAGATCTTCCCAATACACTTTCAAAACAACAAATCCGAGCTCTTCCTCGTTCCGCGTTCAAGAGAGAAGGCAGAGCAAACGTAAACTGACACTCACTATAAATCCAAACTCCTTGCTTGAGCTACAGTGTTTACATTTCATTTCAGGTGTAAAGAAATAATGATAAAACATTAAGGTACAGTAAATGCCAAATTACCTCTAGTTTTCGGCTAGACTTGAGTTTTATTGATTTGAGTTATTCACGTCTAAAGTCTATATTTTCTCCTGGTTGTGTCACTCACTGTTGGTTGGGTTCGGTTTCTCCTCAGCCACCCCTCCAGACTACAGGATACCCTGCTGCCCATGAGTCCTGAAGTGTACGGAGAACTGACCACGATTATGAACCCTGAAATTGATACTGTGGTAGGTTTCAGCCAAACAGCACCAGCCGCACACATTTGAGACGCTGGGAAGATCTCAATTGCATACGCCTCGCGTCCTCTCTCCTATCTCCTTGAATCCTTCTCAAAACCCATTGGATGAGAAAGCCAGAGGTACCAACTCCCTCACCTTCTCCTCCAATGAGTTTTGAGAAGGAGACAAGGAGTGACGCGTGGAGTATGCAATTGTTGTGGTAGGTTTCAATAAGGGCAACACCAGCCGCACACTGAGTGTGGTAGGTTAGGGCCAGACAGAACACCGAGTAGAGACAACAAGTCTAATCATCATAAAACAAAGAATGGGGAAAAGATGTGAACCTGGGCTAAAATGACAATATAAATTCCCTATTTGAGGGGGCTAATCAGCTGGACGAGTGTCATAACTGGAGCATTTATTTCCAAACCTTTCATGCAAGGGTAGGGATAATTCATGCATTTTTACAATGTGACAGTACACACTTAATGCAATCACAAAAGTGCAGCATTCCACTTTTGAGATGCAGCCCATTATTTTCCCTGATCCTGGTAGTTCTCATTTTGTCCCTCTCTCTTCAGATGTGCACTGCCTTCCCAAACTAACCTGCCCTCTTCAGGCAGCGCCCTTGGAAAACTTGTTACCCCCCGAGCTGATCTGAAGACATCCCAGAAAAAGGATGGTATTTAAGTTTAAGACATTTGTTGGGTTTCCTTTGTAAATACAACTAAAACTGTATACATACCGAGTCTGTCGTTTAATGTACATGCATGAGATTTTGGGGCTTCAAATCCAGCTGTTTGTAATAAGGAATGTCATTCTATGTGACTTGTGGGACACGGTAATATTTTGTGAATGCATATGTAGTGTGTAATAACTTATAAAGTGAAACGGTTAAGCCGTTATACTGTGAGCTTCAAAAGTATTGGGACATTTGACAAATGTTTTGTTGTTTTGGCTCTGTACTCCAGCACTTTGCATTTGAAATTATACAATGACTATGAGATTAAAGTGCAGACTGTTAGCTTTAATTTGAGGGTATTTTCATCCATATCAGGTGAACCGTTTAGAAAATACTATTTTTGTACATATTCCCTCCATTTCAGGGAACCAAAAGTAAATGTGACAAATTCCCTTATGTGTATTTAAGTAGTCAAGTTTAGTATGTGGTTCTATATTCATAGCACGGAATGATTCCAAGTTTGTGACTCTACACACTTGTTGGATGCATCTGTTTGTTTTGGTTGTTTCAGATTATTTTGTGCCCAATAGAAATGAATGATAAATAATGTTTGGACTTCACTGTTTAATTTAAGGAGAAAGAAGAGGGCTCACACATGCCTGAATAGCTTTGCTTTATTTAACCTTGTTTATTAAAATAAATATATGTGTGTGTATATATATTCCACTGCCAGGAGCAAATCGCACATTTTCACATCAAGTATGCCTTAAAATAAGAACAGAAAAGGACATCCATATTCAGCAATACATTCAGAACTGTCTTTAGTTGGAACTTTAGACTGGTCTGCAACTACTGGTGACACCGGACTTGAACCATATGTCCATATGATATACAAGGGTTCGAACGCAGGTCTCCCACAAGCCACAAGATTGTTAGCCCTCTGAGCTAAAGCCTAGGCAGCTGACACAAGTTATCAGGTCTCAGGCAAGGTTGCCCTTCACTGAACCACCAATCCATTACAACAGGCATTGTTATAACAAAACCAATGTCCGATTTTGTGAACCGTGACTTACAGGAACAGGTATGACAGTGTTACGGATGTGATTGGTTGGAGGGTTCATGTCTGGTGTTTCCCAGACTAAGGGGAGTGGTGAACGAGGTTGAATTTCTGTGGCAACATGTTATCTTTCTCATTCTTTGGCTTTCATTTGAAATGTTTCTATACACAATGTCACCATCTCAGACACACAGATCTGGGGAGTTGCTGAAAACTGGTCAAGTTGCCTTACAGCGACAAACAAGTAGTGATGGAGATGTTATGTACATAGAGGACAGGGTTTTCCAATCTACCGGATATTCCATCTGTGTATTCATTATCTATCTGGATTAGAACGTTGGTCAAGGTTATTCTCCATTGTGTCAATTAAGCTGCTCTTATGCGACATAGTGTTTTCCCCATAAGACCTACCACTGCTGTTGATTTGATCTATTGTACAGTATTGCTTCATGCTGTGTTAACATTCATGTTAACATCAATTGAAAAATTTAAACAGGTTGTAAATTGACTGCAGTGGTTATATATTTGGTATCGCTCATGTCATACTGTGCGTCATTCCTCAACTGTATGGATTTGACATTCATATTGGACCTCATGAGGGGCTATCCACAAAACTGACACACTAAATCAACTAACTGTTTTTTGTACATGTCAATAATACAGGATACAATACTACTGTACATATTCAAGTAGCAAAGCATAACATACAAATACAATAAGTAATTCATGACTTTCCATTCATTTCTTAAACTGATTATTATGCTAACTATGCCATAATTCCAATCCTGAATAATCCTCATTTAGATGATTTTATATGGTCCTTTACACACCAGCTGATCTTAACTACTACTGTGGGAAAATTGGATCCTGGCCACAGGCACAAGCTTATTCATAAAAGATGACGACATCTAAGAGGATTTGTTTACTATATTAAATGTCAACTGCCATATGTTAATGTACTTAACGTTAGCTCACTCTTTTACACAAACATGTCCAACTGGTTTCCTCCTTTACTACTTTCAGAAAAGTGCTACGATGGTTTACATGTAGGCTTCAGTCCTGTTGTATTGGTTTGATAGAAAGTCATCTGTATGGCATCAGACAAGTGACGCCAGACTAGTGTTTTATCATGGGCCACAGATACTCCCCTGTTCTATCGGTGGTTCCTGATTTAGCTACCTCCTCTCTACAACAGACAACTACCTGTGTTGTGCGCATAACATACAGTATTTAGCTATAGGGAAAGTACAATTCCATTGTTATAAATGAGAAAATCATAACAGAAAAAACACTAGACAAAGAATATACAAATATATATATATAAGGGGCTTGTGCCCGTCCCAAAAAAAGTAAAGTATAGAAAAATGTAATTGAAATGAAAGCTGAAGGGCATACAGTTCCTATGCAGTGGGGTTGATAAAAGTCAAGATAAGTTTGACCCGGACTAGTGGAAGCATGGTAACATCTGGCATCCTATACTTGTTTACATAAGTACTAAGTAGGCTACAGGACCATATAGTGCTTCTACCCTAGTGGTGGCCCATCATGTCCTTAGGAGCTACCGTTTATTTTAACATCTGTCCAACCAGGCATTAACGAAGCACTGTAGCTAGAATAGTATGGAGTGACATTAGTGCCAACATACATTTTATTTCAGATTCAACATCATATCACTCCATAGAGAGTGCCGGATTTGGCATTAGATTAATGGACATTGTGGCCCTCCAGGAAAAATACCAAACTGCTAGATTATCTATTACATTAAATTACAGTAAGTATTGGTCCTTGATATCATGAAATCAATTAACTTTTAACAGTACATAAATATACAATTTACATGTAGGAGAACATCTATAATAATATCACTTTATATTGTACACCATTGTCACAAAGATTCAATCAGATTGTGCACTTCGATTTGGGACCCTAACACACACACCACACATACTTGGTGAGGGAAAGGACTAATGGAGGAAGAGGAAAGAGATAGGAAAGATACAGCAAAAATAAGCAACACAGTCGCAAAAGGTGCAAAGCGCATGACAAAGGTAAAGCAAAATGCTTACGGTAAAACAAGGGAGTATAAAAAAATATATTTAAAAAAACACGTTCAATCAAACACACAGTTCAGAAATACGAGACTGTTATCATACAAAGTCGACAAGTCACTCCAAAAAGCGCATCCCACCACAAAAACAGCAGTCTAGTATAGTACAGATTATATAAAAGCAGTGTGGCGCCGCCTGCTGGCTTGCAAGGCTACACTACAGCAGGCCATCCAGGTTGTTCTCCGTTGTCTCCTTGACCTTCTTGGAGGCCTCTTGTGGGTTGTACTTGTTTTGATAGTCCTGGAGGATGGTGACCACGTCGTGATGGCCAAAGTGCAAGGCCTCTTCCATTGGAGTGTTGTCCCACCTACAGGGAAGATAATGAGCGTGACTGACTGGGGTTAGACTGGCCTACAAAGGCATAGTTCTGGGAGCTAACATGAGTTTTCAGTTGTGAAAATGAAAGGGTACAAACGTGTACATTGTATTCTAGACTGTACATTGCAGACGCTTACTCTCACTCAACTATATGATACTGTCTCTCATCCACCCTAAACACACCTACCCACCCAAAACACACACACAAGACAGACAGACAAAGTTTCTGTGGGCTTACCTATCCCTGGGAACAGGGTTCACCTTGCACGCCTCCAAGAGGAAGCGCACCACCTCTGCATGTCCTGAAAGTAGAGCAGATGGCGGAGATACGTGAGAAACAAACACACACACACTCCTACGCACTTCCTCTCTCACACACTGCAGCAAAGACGTCACACACTACGCAGTGCAGCTGCCGAGGGACAGCAAATTAACTCCTACGACACAGAGGGGGCCGAGTCTGCCAATCACTCCCAGAGGACCCAGACATACACACACAATCTGTCCCTGTGTGTGACAGGAAAAGAAGGCTGTGAGACGCACCTTCTGCTGCTGCCACATGTAGAGCCGTCCTGGAGTCATAGTCCCTCTGCTCCATGTCCATGGAGGACAGGGCAAACCTGCACACACACAGACAGAAAGGTCAGCAGTGTCACAGAGACGGAAGACAGAAGTCATTCAGAGATACAAAAGCAGATTGATCATTAGGAACAAATGTATAATTCCTCAAGTATAATGAATTGAACATAATTTAAAAACAGTCATTTTTATTTTGTGTCAATGTGTGTTTGTCAGTGTGTGTAATCTGTGTGTAAGAGAGCTGTGTACTGTACCTCCTTAGTGCTGAGACGTCTCCGGTGTAGGCGGCAAACAGGAGATTGATGACAGACTTGACCTGGAGAGAAAGAGGAAAGCAGTTTGTGGAAACTGGCAAACACACACAGGCAGGGGGTGTGGGGATATGTACCCTACCACAGTCCTTCACCAGCTAAAAGAGAAGCGGAGTCTGCCAAACATATCAATCAGGACTTCTAGATCCCAATCAACTCCTTACAAAAGCAATGGCAGTATTACTTTAATTATGTAGAATGTTATGCATTGTAAGACTTGCCAGAAGTACTTATTAACCCCTTATAATAATGTCTAAGCATCTCTCAATGACTTTGACTGAATAGCATCTATTCAGTCTTGAGAAAAATTGCAGCATGAAAAAAGGCTACATCCTATATCATTAGCCGTATAATAACACATTAAAAACTATCATATGACCTGTTGACTTTATTGTTGTCAAAATATCATCCCAAAAAATATCAATGAAAAAAATGTTCTACTAACCATTTGTGTGCAGTGAGACCACTGTGAGCAGTTAGTAAGACCAATAGCTAGTAGTGAGTGTATTACATTTTAGTCATTTAGCAGACACTCTTATCCAGAGCGACTTACAGGAGCAATTAGGGTTAAGTGCCTTGCTCAAGGGCACATCGGCAGATGTTTTACCTAGTCGGCTCGGGGATTAGAACCAGCAACCTTTCGGTTACTGGCACAATGCTCTAAACCACTAAGCTACCTGTATTAGAAGATTTAGGAGTTAAGAGTGAGTAAACTCCAGCCCCAGGCAAACCGTGACCGGAGTCCTGGCTCGAGCTGTAGGCTACAGGGGATATTGACAGCTTTATTAGCCAAGGTCCTCTATTCTGCCACCCAGTCAATAAAATACTTCTTAAGGAGCCTTGAGTCATGTTTGAGGAGCTACCAGCTTTGACTACAGACCAGATACTATGGTTGGATTCTGGCAGTGTTTTCTAAAGAGTTGATTGGAGAAATAATTATCTTGTGGTCCGTTTACTAACTTGAAGCTTTAGCAGACTATGTGTGGCTTTTCTGCTGCATTGCAGGCTATGGGTCTGCAGTAACGTTCTCTAATATAATCAGATAATCAACCACAAGAGGGTGCTGAAACATTACTGAAGGCATAGTGACATTGCCTTCAGTAAATTGTCTCTTGTTTTTCCATTTGGGTGGTGGTGGTAGTGGGTAGAGCATCAAAACTTCAAAGTCTAATTATGTGAACCACTGTTTGGATCGGAATTAGATGCTTTAGATACTCAACTGTATTGGAGTGAATTAAATGAGTGAATTAAATAAAATAAAAACAGTAAACAGTGCTGGGGTATCAAAAGCATAAAACCCTTGCTTCACATTCACAACAAACCAGTAAAACAATCAATTAATGCATTATTAGTTAATGGCAATATGGAGTTATTACCAATTTAGTTTTTTTTAGCTTGGGGAGGATGTTGTGCAGTATTTCTGTAACATCTCAGATGCATTTTGATGAGGCTGCAGAATGCAGAGACACAACTGCCCGAAACAGAACAGAATATAAAGGAGCTCCACATCACAGTAGAACACCAATCAGAACAGAATAAAGCAGGGCAAAACTCAGCATAGCCGTAAGTAGCATAGTTAGCAGAACTGAACAAAGTAGAATAGAGTAGAGCACAGGCATTTAGCAGATCAGTGTCACACAACTTAGTAGCAGACAATAACTAGTTAGATCAGAAAATAACATAAGAAATGAGGTAGCAGTAGAACATACGGAAATGAACAGAACAGCAGCGAGCAAAGCAGTCGTTCCATGTCATTTCAGCAAGCCATGACACCCATCGTCTCAGATTGTTCTGAAATCGTTTCTGTAGTTAGAAGCAGCTAAAATGTACATTGCTGCAACATCATTTTCTTAAAATGGAATTTGATCTGAGAAATTAAGCTAATTGATTGCACCCACTTTGGCCCTTTTAATTGATAGGATTCATATAATATTCAATAAATATAGTAACCAACATTCGATTTGGACCCAACTTCTTCCTACTATTGAGTAAGACATGAGGAATCCAATAAAATGGTCAAAAGCCAGCCACAGACCCCGCACACAAATCCCACCCCAACAACCAGAATACAGTATCAGTTCTCTATGTCTGACAAGTAGTATGGCGCTGCGGCTTGAAGTATTGCTTCTTCATCCTATGTGATGTGTTCCTGTGAATCTAATGTTTTTTCCCCCTTTCAGAGAAATTAGCCATTGAAGTCACTTGCATTATTTACCACAAAAAGGTAGCAACCTTTTCTAACCCACAGTCATCAACAAACATGGGCTATGTAGGCTAGTTTTGATATAAACACAAATGTATACACACCCAATGTGAGGCAGAGAATATCTGAACCACACTGTTCATATGGGGCCAGGGAGGTGTTTCAGACCGATTATTTTGACCATTAAGAGGTCAAGAGTCACTTAGACACGCCCTATCGTCTGAGCATCGTGCCAATAGGGGAAATATAACACCATTGGCGTGTGACCAAAATTGCCACCACCATAGAAATAGAATTGCGTGACTACATCTACCCCACACAGGTATTATAATGTGTGTTTGAATCCAATCTGGCCTATGTTAGCCCAGCCCTGCACAGACACAGGTCACTGTAGGTGAGATCACACTGCAACACACAACAAGCGAGCACAGCATGTCAAGGGTAGTCCAGCACATTCCCATACAAAAATGGCTACAATGTATACAAAAGTGTATACAATTTAACATATTAAAACAGAACTGGCTCAAAAGAGGCTACTTTTGACTTATTACTAAATAACTTAAAACTACTTTGACAGTTATTACCCCCTTATCACCCTGAAGCCGAAAGTGACTTTTCAATCAGGTTTGTTATGAGTGTGATGGATGTTCCTTGACAGGCTGAAAAAGAATGGCTACAACAGAAATACAATACAATAACCATACTATACAGACAGACATAGTACAGCAAGGAACACAGTTGCCAGCAACGAGAGCACACTTGACTTCACTCAACTCACCAAGTACAAACTGGTTCAGAACAATGACCGGAGGGCGAGCATACAGACCAAACTCACACAGATCAAGCACAATGCATTCTGGGGGTCTCTTCTGATTGGTTCCATTAACTCTGATCTCAGGGGTGAAAGGGTGCATTGCATACCACACAAGAACCCTCCCCAAATCACCCACCCCCTCACCTCTCTTTTACCTGCTCAGGTTGAACTGTGACCAGAAGAGTCAAACCTAGCCACAAAAACTGCACTTTCAAAGTATTTATCACACAGACATGACCAGGTATTTACTTGGGAATTATATGGTAAAATGGTAATTACACAATAATAACCAACTAGTTAACTTTAAATTACTGATTGTTGCAGATTGTTTAGGATTCATTAAAACCACTAGGCACCGTTTTAGTACCAACCAGATACGAAATTACCAATTGTTTTGAAAGTAAGTATAAAAAAAGTACCAATTGATACCACACAATTTCCTAGTAAATGAATACCAGTGGAAACAATATCATAAAGTGCTATCCCAAAATCTCCTGTTAACCAATAAAACACTTAGTTTCAGTTGTGGTAATTTGACAAACAGGTATTCATTGGTTATAGTACTTTATTGGTTTATAACATGGGGCAGCAAGGCAACACGATTTCAACAAGCACTTCACCTGTCATTGCAACACACTTCTAGCATTACAACTACTGAAGCTCTTTGCTTGTATTTGCAATACAGGCCTCTATACAGATAGCAGTAGAGCTAAGTATTGCTTTCCCCCCCAAAACAAGACAAAAACCTAGTGTTTTCATCCAAACCATGAGGCAGTGTCTTTACTATGAGGATAACGCAACTCCCTTTTTTGTCCAAGACACCAAAACCAGTTTGAGTTAGAGTGATAAATCAACATTCCAGTTAGATTCGGTAAAGATCTGAAGAGTTCAAGAGCAGTTTTAATGTTAAATGCAATGATATACACTCTCAATAAGTTAAAACTGTAGACTGCTGGTGTGTATAGCATTTTAGACTTGGAGGGCTATAGTTGTTTTCGCCAAGGCACAGAAAACAGAAAAAACAGAAAAACTGAAAAAAAAAAAAAACACACTAAAATGAACTTTAAAATATCAAGGTGGGATTCAAACACATTTATTAAATCATACAAAAATATGCATGCCAGAAGGACCATTTGAAACAAAAACAGAAATAGTAAAATAATGACATTGCCGGAAACATTACAAACATGTTGGTGTGAAATCATAAAAATCATACATTTTAATGAAAATACTGGTACGGCATTAAAAAAAACGTGTGTAAAATTTGATTGGGGTTATTTGTCACATTTTGCTGGAACATAGAAAGGTTCACATTCCCTTAGAGTTCAAGTAAGCCACATAACTTCCTCCTGTAGCCTCTAACGTCAACCTAACTCCAAATTGCAGTAGTGAGTGAAACTCGTCTATAGTTGAGGCGTGTGAGTCCTGCAGGCTTTCAGCCCCTGCATTCTCCATATTATGTCAACATGGGCAAGACTGTAGAAAACCCACTCAAACGTGTTTCAGAAAACACAAGTAGCAGAAAGAAAAGATACAATTCCAGTACAAATAAATAGGATTAATTTAACAGGACTGATTATTGGGTAAATTAGCATTAGCAAGCAGGTTAACGTTAGCTGCTAGGCTAGCTTCCCTCCACAGTGACAGAGGCTTGTGAAAGCTTTGCACCGCACACTGACTGACAAAATCTCAAAGGCCTACACTTAAAAAACAAACATCCTCAGTGAAATAGTAGTTCTAGTTCCAAATCACAATTATAACTGAAGTCCAAGCATATAGACATGACAAAACAACAAATAGATCTTTTAACTAAAATTCTGATGCTAAATTAAGCTAAAAGCTAACTAAAAGTATATGGGACAGGGTGGAGTCAAGTCAGTCAATTCAGGAATTCCAATTAAATTAATACATTCCAATTAAATAATTGAAAACAGGTCATCTATGTTCAGTAACTTGTCAACAAACAAAGGGAGAAGCTATATATATATATATATATATATATATATATATATATATATATATATATATATATATATATTTCCATTTATGAATTTTACATTTAAATCCCTTCCTGAATTGACTTCAATTCAAATTGACCCCAACCTTGGCCGGTATGGGCCCCATAGACTTATATGGACCCACAAGAAGAAGAGCACATTCACGGGTAACATAGGGCTACTGAAGCGTATACCCATTCAACAGTTCAGTTTCAAGCATGATTGGATAAAAACATTGAAAGAAAAACAACAACCCCAGCAGCAGGACACCCAAGGCCTTGGCTGACATGTGCAAATGTGGCCAAATTATGAACGTTTGTGAAATAAGTTGATTCCCTTGCCGTTCTGAGCTGCTGTTGAGTTTCGTCAAGCTTACTGCAAGATAACAATCCCCCAAAACACACACACACACACACACACACACACACACACACACAGCATGTCAGGCAAACAATACAGTCTATGGCAAAACTATAGATACAGTACATATGGAAATAAATATGATGCATTCTTAAGCTACAGTATAGATAAGATAACTGGTTTACCCTTTGACTTTAAGGGTAGCTAAGCGTTATTGACAGTAATAATACGGATTAAATATAATTGGTAACAATGTGTGATCACACTTTATCTCAATGGTATACTGACTTGTACAATATATATACACGTATGACCTATATAACCATGATATGCCATCTGACATATACATACTGCAACTGCCTATGGAATAGATCCAGCAGGATTCTACTAGGCTATGTCATGAAAACTAACGGCTTGTGGGGTGTCTGTCGGTCTGTCTGTCACAGCCAGGGTCAATGTCCCCTCGGCATGCGTCACAGCTTAGATCAACACGGTACACACACGTGCATGGACCACTCAAATACACACACACACACACACACACACACACACACACACACAGAAGGGGGTTGAATGCATCACCTTTTACGACCTTGATGAAAAGCTACGGTCCACTCAACAGCAGTTGAGAATCAACTCGTGTGAGATGCTGACACTGACAACGTTGCTGGTATGTGAAAGGTAAAGGGCCTGTATGCAAGTTAGAATGGTCCGACTGATATAGTCTCAGTGTCACGCCTGATAAGTGCCTTATTATAATCTCATAGTTTGCTCTTCTAAAGCTTACTACAAGCTCTACGCAGATGCAAATATCGGTGTTGCAATGTCGTTTTTCATCACAAAAGGGGCAGCTCCTTGTAATACGCTCTGGAGTTCCACATACTGTTTTACTACCTGAAGAGACACGCAGTATCATTACCTCCGCAGCCGTGGGGGCAGTATTATTGCTTGGTTCCTTGATCTGATATGTAGGCTATATAGGCTATTCATCAAAGTAGCCTATTTTGCATTGATAACCAAATATAATCTCAGCGACTGTTCAAAAAGTAAACCAAACAAGAATCCACCCAAAAAGGTATTTTGTTTAGAAAAAATAACTAGTGATTCCAGGCTATTGTGAAATGGTAGAACCTGCTGTAGCCAACTAGCTAGCCATGTGCTTTTTTACTCCATGACCAAAACATGTTGACGTTCTATTTTTAACTGATATGAGAATTAATACACAAACAGCATATCAAACTGGGATAATGTTTTCGGTTACACCAGCAAGTATAAGAATATTTGCCAGGGCCTATTTCTAAATTATAAATCTGATTATTTCACATGGAGATGTGGGAAGCTAAAAAGACTAGCTAGCCTGCTATGTTTTTAGCCAGGCTAAAGCCAGATAGCCAGGCTGCCAGCTAGCTACTTACTATTAGCAAGGGAAGGCTACTCTTCCTTGTTTTCAAAGAAATGTAAGACCAAAATAAAAAATGGGAGTGGGACCGGCAAGGATATCCTGTTACCAAAAGGTGTCCGCTACTCCAAAAATCCCACTTCACCCATGTGCACGCACGCAGATCAACTGAGTTGAGCTTGTAGTAACCTTAAGAGCCTGTCAACGCATAGAAATATCATGAGATACATTACATTTCTATGTGTCAAAACACTTCAAATCACAACACTCCACATCCTCCCTTGGCTTTTGGTTTGAGAAAACCTCCCTCGCTTTGGTTAACAAACACATTACATTGTGCCTAATACCCACACTGGCATGTTTGACAGATTCAGGAACTCAAACCTGTCAGTAGATATTGAAGTACACATGCAATGACGAATCAAGTCTACATGCAAAGCCTTAATCTGAGCCAGGCAATCCCTTCAGGCCCCTAAAGTCCGACATTCTAGACAGGCAGCCGGAAGGGCTTCCCTCGGCTCTGCAGGACCCCCAAAAACACACAAGGACACACAGAAAAAAAAAAGGTAGAGTAACTCAGGTAGGATCAATTATCATTCATCACCAGTACATAATGTGACATTACATTATGTTTTACAATCCGCCAAACAAAAAAACAACCTCATAGAAATAAATAATCCTCTTGATAATATATATAAATATATGAAGTCATATATGGGCGTAGAAAGGAGACAGGAGGTGGGAGGAGAGAGGGGGTCCTAGTTGCGCTCCCCGACACTCTCCATCCTATAGACTACAGTGGTGGAGCTGTCCTCGTGGCACTCAGTGGGCACCACCTTTTTCCACAGAGAGTCTTTGAGAGCTAGCTCTTGCTGAAGGCTCTCGTAATCCATGGGTCCGAAGGTAAACTGCTGTTTCAAGCAACATGGGATAACAGATTAGTCGGGTCTGCCAGCACATGCCACGAGTGCGGCTGCTCTACGTGTGTGTGTGTGTGTGTGTGTGTGTGACTGACTGACTATCTATGCGTGGTTGGTAATGTGTTAAGTTTTGTAACTATGTAATGGACTATGTGTAGGCCTTTCTTTATTGTGTCTATGACTGTTTGGCATGTGTGTGTGTCAGGTTTGCTCTGACAGAGATGCCCCTTACCTCTAAACACACTCTGATTAAAACACTATTTTTAGATCAAAAGGAAAGGATATTTCAAAATCAATCCTAACCTTTAATTATTATTATTTTTTACCAAGCATGCCAAAGCTTACTGAAAACCTTGAGATTAAACTAAATTAAATGACAATCCCCTTCAAAAGGGCAAACCAGATTAACAAGTAAATTCCCCAAAATATATATACAATTATCAAACATCCACAAACATAATCCAAATGTCAATACATTAGAGTGTACTGTAGCTATCTAAATAACTAGGGCAACAATCTTTCTTTAGGAACTCTCATTAGCAACCCTTAGATACTCGGCTACAGACAATTTAGCACCATTATATCAGGCACATTCTGTTGTTCTGGGAGGGTGTGGTAACAATGGAAGAGGGGTGGGTCTGTGTGCGTGTGTGTGCTTGTGTAAAGGTGTGTGTGGAGGGGATGGTTGGGACTGCGTGTACTCACCCTCTGGTCGCCTCCCTCCCTGCGAGGATCGTGCTTCTTGGCAAAGTGCCTCAGGTTGTCATAGTTGTGGAAGTTAAAGAGAGACACCAAGTCCTGAAACGCATAGAATGAGAGCGTCATGGTCAGACGGAAGGAGTGAGAGACAGAGAGAAAAAGAGAGACAGAGCGAGCGAGCAAGACAGAGAGAGAAAGAAACAGAAAGAAATCTAAACTCAAGCGTGTATCAGAATAGCGGTGGGACTGGGATTCGATCCCACGCGGACATTGTCGTACATGTGGTCCTCTGTAGCTCAGCTGGTAGAGCACGGCGCTTGTAACGCTTGTAACGCCAAGGTAGTGGGTTCGATCCCCGGGACCACCCATACACAAAAATGTATGCACGCATGACTGTAAGTCGCTTTGGATAAATTATGGCATATTATTATGTCATATGCTGAAGGCGGTGACGCTAACCATTGCCACTAGACCAACGCCAGGTCACGAGTAGGTAGAGTTAACATTAGAACCGTCGGGCCTTTCAGCATATAAGTAACCGCTAGAGAACACCTAGCCTTGATGGACCCTCCTTTCAGCCAATGACGCATCAACATTCTAACAGTCTAATAAATACATTTCATATATGCTATCGGCAGAATAATAATTTGGTTGTGTTTATGAAGGTCGTAATATTAGAATACAAAAAAACGTATTTCAAATAACATTTTTATTAGCTTATGTTACCCTAGTCTATAAATAAAAATGAAAAAAACACTAGTTCAAGATTTAAATCCATCACAAAGAAATCGTTATCATTTCGTTTTGGCAGGTCTAAAGAAACATTGTGGTAATAAGAAAATGTCTAATTTTTCTTTATTTGTTTATTATGTTACTAGTACTAGTATTATGTTATTTGGAAATATGTATGGTAAGGTAAGTGTCATAGAAACTGCAGAATATGCCCTTTCTGATACTATATAGAAATCAAAACGATTTACCTGCATGTGACTGAAGGAGGATTTGATAAAGTGATACTCCTTTCCCTGCATCTGTCAATTCCAAGCTGTGCCCATCTCTTCATGTACAATTTGACAACTGATAATATTGTCACTCAGACTATTGTCAATTTAATCTTGTCTTTAGGATAACTCTTATTATGTGTGAAATTAGTTTCGGTGTAGTTTCAATGGGCCGGCTGCGCAGGCTGACTGGCATCGTTTGTTTCCCCTTGCTACTCAATTCGGATAGAGTTAGGGATATGTTTTGCATTATTCTAAAGGCCTACTGCAACAGCATGTTTTCGTTTCCCTTACAATACATTTGATTAGTAATAGAGTTATAGTAAATAAAACAGTAACAGCTTATTTTTACAAAGTAAAACATAAAAGAGAATGATATATCAACCCGCAAGGCGCGCATTCAAATTATTTGCTATAAACATGAGCGCCAAAGCTGATAAATAGGCATAACACAAACTCATCATTACACTATTGTCTTTCTAAATTAAATCAACGCTCTTCACCTTCCTTATCATTCAGTTAGGCCTAATTTGAATTCAATTTTGAAGTAAAGTGCACAATTATCACCCATTCATCCATTTGTCATTCATTCAGTGAGGAGAGAGAGACGCATTAGCGCCTGGCTGGGTACCAACGTCCTACAGCACATTGTCTTGGTGGGTTAAGTTGGGAATAGGTGTGAAAAACAGTTTAAAGGTTATATAATTTTAGTTTGTGATAAAAAAATTCTGAGAAATGAGCAATGCAAAAATACAAACATTTTGTAAAATCAGGGAAGGAGCAGGAGGTAGCTTTTTTTAGGGGTCCAATTTATTTTATTTACAAAATCAAACGTCACTGGCCGTTGGCCTATGGCAGTTATGGTGTTAAAGAACATTGTGTTCTTCAACAACATGTTGACAGTGATTCCTGGCATTTCCAGCCGTGAGATCTAAATCACTCATTCATCACTTTGTTATTAAGGAGCAGACTGGCGTGGGGCCTCTCTCTACGGCTCATAGCTGGAACAACACATAGCTGTATCTGTACCTGTATGAAACCCCACCGCAATGACTGGGCCTCAATGAGAAAGCACCTACTAGTTCACTATGGGATATCACAAGTAAACATACATCTACATACAGTATGTACCATTCAGAAATCTTGTTATGCAACATAAGTCATACAGCATACAATTGGGTGAAATTCCATAACCAGCTTAGTTGGCACAAACAGAAAATAGCATCCATCCAATTTTATTTTTTTACTTGTTTGAGTAGAGTAGACAGTAGAGAGTAGAGTATTACTTGGGAAATTGTTTTATGTGTCTGTGTCTTATGTACTCCTGGCTGCACAATGAGTTTCCCTGCAGGAACAATGAAGAATAGCTTAGGTTCTGAATCAAACTGTATGCATTCATCTCACTTCCCCCGCGATGCAGCAAAATAAAGGAATCAGACAGTGACCTATGAATGAATAATGCATGGCGGGGAAGAGAAAAATTACTAGGGGGGGAGAAGAAAGAGATGACAAGAAGCTATAATGGGCCGGGCAATGCACTAAATAAGATGTGTCTGTGAGGCCTTGTCAGAGCAAAAGGTATGTAAATCGCAGATGCTTTAGGAGGAGTAGCTCGGCTAGAAGAGCTCATTTCTCATGGTAGAAGGATTCATATGCCGTGGCGGCTCAGAATATGGCTCAGAGAGCGGGAGAGGAGAGAGGGCGAGAGATAATAAGATGCAGAAATATGATCATGTGTGAGGGTGGTAGTGGTAATATGTGTGTGGGGGGGATTGAGTGCATGTCTATTCGCAGGTGTCAGTGTGTCCCCGTACCGTGCAGAACTGAATGCCTCGGACACTGTTGCCCAGCTTGTCCAGTGGAGGAGACCAGCACATGATGCCCATGACGTTGGGCACCACCAGTAGGATGCCCCCTGCCACGCCCGACTTGGCTGGCAAGCCCACCTAGAGACACAAAGACACAGGGAGAGGTTACCCACAACTCTGTGGACATCAGGGCCCAAAATGTAAAAAGTTCCTTATCTAGGATCAGCTCCCCTTTGTCCATATAATCTTATTAATTATGATCTAAGACAAAACTGATCCAATATCAGCACTTCTACTCTGAGACTCGTGGTGAATACAGGCCCAGGGCTTTATACACACTAAGAGTGAGTGAGAGACAGACACACAGAGTGAAAGCAATGAAAGAAAGCATAGGACCTACAGCAGGGATCATCAACTAGATTCAGCCGCAGGGCAGATTTTTTCTTGAGCGGATGGTCTGGGGGCCGGAACATAATTACAAATAATTTGTAGATTGCAAATTGACCGCAAGAAGCCCAAACAGATATAATATTTGACTAAAACATAATCATTTCAAACCTTGTTTACATTTGTATACAATCACGTGTCTCTATTTTGCGTGGGAATACTTGACTGGATAATCGCGTAACATCTGATTGGATAATCCTCCATGGGGGCAATTGGTAGACCATTGGCCTGGTTTGTTCTGGCAAGGACAGCGACTGGAGGGACTGGAGCCCAGTGGAGGGCAATTGAGGACATTGTGGGGCAGAGACCGGCTGGATGGGACTGAAAAGGGCCGTATTGGGCAGGAGGGGGAAGGAAAAGGCAGAATCTGTCAGAGTGGCAATATTGGGCATAATAAGCTGTGCTTTGACTGGACCACAAAAGTCAATGTGGTGGTCTGACACTCTGGGTGCATCTCAATACCCCTACCCCTATGTACAAATTACCTTGACTAACCTGTACCCCCGCACATTGACTCGGTACCGGTACCCCCTGTATATAGCCTCGTTATTGTTATTTTTACTATTTTTCACTTTAGATTATTTAGTAAATATTTTCTTAACTGAATTTAGTTAAAAATGCCTTGTTGGTTAAGGGCTTGTAAGTAAGCATTTCACGTAAAGGTCTACACCTGTTGTATTCGGTGCATGTGACAAATACAGTTTGATTTGATTTGAATAGTGTAAAATTGCTTCCTTTTCTTGTCTACTCTCTTCCATTTGCACTTTTCTGAAAACACAGGCCAGGTTAAAGTTATTTTTGTCAGAGCAGATAAAGGATGGGAGACAAGGAATAGCCACTGTGGAATATGGCGAGGTACAGTATACTCACGTGGAAGGCGAACTGGCCAGAGAAGTCATACATGCCGCAGGAGTGCATGAGGCTCAGTGTGTCACGCACTGCCTCCGGGCTCAGCACGCGCTCGCCCGTGATTGGACAGAAGCCGCCGTTGGCCAAGGTGGCCGCCATGACGCTGGCGCTCTCACAGGTCACTTCGATGGAGCATAGCTGGAGGGACACAGACAGTTACAACACAAATGAAGATCAAGCCAAACAGTCAGTGACAGAAATAAATGAATATAACACACACATACACACAGAATAAATATATGACAGTCAAACGTGAGTCTAGGGCATTACATACTCAATTCTTCTCCTGTCACAATATTGCCCCCACTCTGGGTGAAAACGTACTACAGTATAATCAAAATAGAGTGTATGCATAGAGAATGAAAAAACTATACTCAAAGTAAATTTAAATGCATAGAGTATAATGTACCCACTACAACGACTCCTCTCTCTTGTCCTTCTATGGTTTTAGGAAAGGCTCCAGGTTATGTGAGTTCTCAGTGGGCCAAGGCAAACATTACCAAATGACCAGCATGACCGGAGCCTATCCGTCAGTGGGCTGCCAGCACCAGAGTGACACCAGAGAGGAAGGCTGTCAACACCCAAAGGGATGTGACATCAACACAGCTATCCCATTGCACACATTTCCCCCCTTAGCCAGAGAAGCACATGAGCAAAGTCACAGTCACCAGACCCAGAAAGAGAGAGGGGGAGAGGAGGGGGCTTCGAAAATACAACCATTACAATAAGTCCTTCCTCCCCATTTCTCCCTCCACTGGCAGTGTGTAGTTGTTGTGGGCTGTCTGTTTGCACGTACCTGGAAGTAGAAATCCAGAATGGACGTCATGTCTGTCCCCTCAGGAAAACACTGCATAGAGAGAGATAGAGAATGATGAATGAACAGATTACATCCATGCAATATATTTTGACATGACAGGTGTGCTGTTCTGTGTTTCAGCAACCTTAGATTATACATTGGAGAGAGAGAGAGAGAGAGAGAGAGAGAGAGAGAGAGAGAGAGAGAGAGAGAGAGAGGGGGGGGGGGCTTAAGTTTAGTTACTCCTTATTTAGGGAAAGATAGAGTAGCTCCTAAGTCAAAATAAATAAATAATTTTCCCCTACTAGCACCGACTCTGCTGACAGCTACTTTAAAGAAAAATGTACTTACTATGATTGAGATATGTGGCTGTCCCACCTAGCTACAGTATCTTAAGATGAATGCACTAACTGTAAGTCGCTCTGGATAAGAGTGTCTGCTAAATGACTAAAAGGCAGCTCTCCAGTTGTGAACAAAGCGACTTAGTGAATTGTAGAATGGGAACAGCAAACAGTGCCAAGTAAGAGAAAAGGGAGGGGAAGAGGGAGTGGAAAGAGGGCAGAATGAGAGGGAGAGATAGCATCACGGCTCAGACCTTCTTTTCTTTCAGGTAGTAGCCGATAGCGAAATTCCTGTCTCCTGACTCGCGCTCCGACTGGAATCTGGGTCACAAAGAACACAACACACCCCATCAGTGAGAAGAGCTAACGTTCCACAGTGTGTGTGTGTGTGCGCGCGTCTGCACCCATGTGAGTTGGTGTTTGTTTTCTTTCACCACATTCCTTCATTGCCGTCATAATTAAAAACCCTCTTCCAAATGAGATCATGAGCCTACTGTGATTCACTTCTGTAAACAACATTAATATTCAAGACTTTGCCATCACATATAAATGGCATGCCGGCAGTGTAAACAATAATTAATAATGGAGAGGGGTCCGGAAAGGAGAAGAAGGCCAGACAATTGGGCTGCATCTGAAATGGCGTCCTATTACCTATTTAGTGCATTACTTTTGACCAGGGCCCACATAGTGCATTATGTAGGGAATAGGGTGCCACTTTCTACTTACGTGGCGTTGCTGAAGCCTACATACTCGTTTCCTGCCATCTTATTCAGGAAGTTCATGACCTGGAAACAAAACAACGACAATAAGTCTCTCAACACAAGACAGTACAAACCTAAGCTAAATCAGTTAGCAAAAAAGTTTGAAACATACATTACCTAAAACAACCACAAAATACCCCATACAACTCCAAACAGCTGCCACAAACCACAAAATGTGGTATTAAAAACTTGAGTTTACTTACATAGTCAAACTTCTCAGCATTGCTCGCTCCCTGCTGAAAAGCAATAGAAAAAGTATTAAGTCAAGTTTGTTGGACAAAGAGAAAATGTTTACAGCAGAATGAAAGTAGCAAGAAAACACATTATAAGCATTGGCTTAAATAATAACAAGAACTACAAAAATGATCAGTTTGATGCATTATAAATGCAAAGTTAACTGAGCTTCGGTGAGACCTAGGCAAGCATATACACTTCAACATGGATGAAGCAAATCTGACGGGTGTTAAATAGTTACAGAGAAAGAGAGATGTACAGTGCATTCGGAAAGTATTCAGACCCCTTGATTTTTTCCACATGTTGTTACGTTACAGCCTTATTCTAAAATGGATTAAATAAATGTTTTCCTCATCAATCTACACACAATACCCCATAATGGCAAAGCAAAAAAAGGTTTTTATGGTAGAGTGGCCAGACAGAAGCCACTCCTCAGTAAAAGGCACATGATAGCCTGCTTGGAGTTTGCCAAAAGGCACCTAAAGGACTCTCAGACCATGAGAACGAAGATTCTCTGGTCTGATGAAACCAAGATTGAACTCTTTGGCCTGAATGCCAAGTGTCACGTCTGGAGTAAACCTGGCACCATCCCTACGGTGAAGCATGGTGGTGGCAGCATCATGCTGTGGGGAAAGATGAACGGAGCAAAGTACAGAGAGATCCTTGATGAAAACCTGCTCCAGAGCGCTCAGGACCTCAGACTGGGGCGAAGGTTCACCTTCCAACAGGACAATGACCCTAAGCACACAGCCAAGACAACGCAGGAGTGGCTTCGGGACAAGTCTCTGAATGTCCTTTAGTGGCCCAGCCAGAGCCCGGACTTGAACCCGATTTAACATCTCTGGAGAGACCTGAAAATAACTGTGAAGCGACGCTCCCCATCCAACCTGACAGAGCTTGAGAGGAATGTGAGTAACTCCCAAAATACAGGTGTGCCAAGCTTGTAGCATCATACCCAAGAAGACTTGAGGCTGTAATCGCTGCCAAAGGTGCTTCAACAAAGTACTGAGTAAAGGGTATGGAAAAAAGTGTAAAAACCTGTTTTTGCTTAGTCATTATGGGGTATTGTGTGTAGATTAATGAGGAACAAAAGCAATTTAATTTAGAATAAAGGCTGTAACGTAACAAAATGTGGAAAAAGTCAAGGGGTCTGAAAACTTTCCGAATGCACTGTATAATGAATTTATAGAGTCAATAGACACAAAAAGACAGTTAATGAGTGGGCTTTGGTTGGAATTAAATTAAAGAACTAAGATGATCTGTCATAATCACCTTTTGTATATAAATGTAACACTATGGCTGGCACAATTACATATAATTGTGTAACCGACGTCATGGTTACCATATAACCAATGGTTATGGATGAAGAATAACCGTCATTAACCGTTAAAAAAATAGAATATATATATTATTATTTTAATATTTTTGGGGGGGACAAACAGCTGACTGAAGACGGGACGGCCAGGCATTTGTGCGGTTGAGTCCGTTTCTGTGATAACATGGACTTTTAACAACATGAAACTTTTTTGCCCCTTGCTGAAACAAGAAAGGTGTTGTAGCAAACAATGAATAAATGGGCTTGGAACCTCTAATCCTGGCAATAGGTCATACTTGCATAACTCTGATGATAGAGAAATGTGCGCAATTGTTCTGCATGGAATAATCTGAAATGTGTAGTTCTGACTATGCTCTTCAAGAGGTGATGATTTTAAAACCAAATAGTTATAACATTTATTTAACAATCCTTTGAAAGCGGCACGTAGCTACTTGTCAATGGTTTTAGCGGAGCTGGGGGTCTCCTTTCACCCTAGCAGCCAAATTGTACACTCTATACTGTATTGTGATGTTTTATTGATAACAACCTATTTGACTGGTAAACTCATGGGTACACTCGCAATAGCTGCCTGGTATTGTGATGCAATAATTTCCATGGTAATGTAGAATGTTCCAAAACTAAACTTAAGAACGGGAAGCATAGAAATAACTCACATAGCACAGATCTACCACTTCTTAGACTTGCTTTACATTTTTGTCATTTAGCAGACACTCTTATCCAGAGCGACTTACAGTTAAGTGAGTGCATACATTTTTCATACTGGCCCCCCGTGGGAAACGAACCCACAACCCTGGCGTTGCAAGCGCCATGCTCTACCAACTGAGCTACAGGAGGCCACTGCTTTCAATAAGAACGACAGATCTATAACTCACATTTCTATATTAATTTGGTAGGGTCGCCCAAAAGGTTCCATGTCGCAGCTTTAACTGATAATCTCATGCAATGGAATGTATTTTTTGTAATGTCAGTTGAGTTGAATCAACAAATCACAGCACATATTGATGGGTACACTTCCTGCTTTGATTTCCTTCTTTGCTTCAATAGATGGGTTGGCAACGTCACAAAAATGATGCGCGTTTCGATGGGGCCAGAAGCCTTGCTTTGTTATGATTCTGAATGGTCAGATAGCTAGCAACAATGACAAGAAGCTGCCATGTGGGGAATCGTAGGTGGCTCGTTTCAGCTAGTTTTATCTTGTTCTTTATACCATGTCTTGTTTTGAGGTGTTTTGAATGAGTTAATGTCAACGCTAATATGGCAAAAATTCACTAGCTAGCAACAACTGATGATGTATTTGAGAGACAACAAGTGCTCATTGTGCAAATATATACCGAACGAAATAAAAACGCAACAACTTCATTGATTTTACTGAGTTACAGTTCATATGAGGAAATCAGTCAATTGAAATAAATAAATTAGGCCCTAATCTATGGATTTCACACGACTGGTAATTTTTATATGTATATGTTGGTCACAGATACCTTAAAAAATGTTTTATTGCTATCGATAAAATGCAATTGTATTCGTTGTCCGTCGCTTATGCCTGCCCATACCATAACCCCACCACCACCATGGGGCACTCTGTTCACAACGTTGACATCAGCAAACCGCTCGCCCACACGACGCCATACACGTAGTCTGCAGTTGTGAGGCCGGTTGGACGTACTGCC